ACCAAACAGAAGGAGCAGAGCAAACAGAAGGAGCAGACCAAACAGAAGGAGCAGACCAAACAGAAGGAGCAGACCAAACAGAAGGAGCAGACCAAGAAGCCAGAAGCAGAGCAGGAGGCTGAGGAGACGTATAGCGAAGGACACAGGATGATGGCTGGGGCGGATGACGAGGAGGATGATGGCACCGATGAAACGGGTGGTGAAGAAGGGTAGGAGCGAAGGAGCAGAGGGAGACGGAGGATGGTGGGTTTGTTGTGTTTGGTTAATGAAGGCACGTGGACTCTTTTCGAAAGAGTGCCACTTATATAGTACAACGAAGAGTCGAGATCAAGATTTTGTCTTCCATCACTTCGTATCAGACAGTCAGTAACTGTGAAGGTGACGGTGCATCGGCTTCAACTTGGCTCGAACAGACTGTGCGTTCCTCTCCCCACATGTTACGCTTTCGAGTTGGGGCTACTGCAGGGGACGCAATCGTGTTCGCAATCCCTGCATTCAATGCTAACGTCGATACATGGACGACTCTGTTGGACTTCATGAGCAGCGTCTCGCAGCATCAAGATGTCAATCCCCCCCCTCTCTCATTTTCCAACGTGAGTCACACATCATCTCAAGAGGCCCCAACCCCTCTCCTCAAATCTTTCAAGCCTACTGCAAGCCTTTCCAATCTGCAACAGACGGTGAGCCATACAGCTGCCGCTTCGTACTTAGTGCATGCAGGAGGGGCAGACTTTGTGGGGTGAGTCGACATGTCTAGCAGATCCTGGCTTCACCGCCTCGCTAAGCGAGACGTGCCGAACCGCGCCTCATCTCACGATCTCCCCGGAAGCTTGCCCGCACAGGCTGCACGTCTCGCTCTCTACCCCTCACGCGACTTGTGGTTGTGCATTGGTGGGCGCAGAAGAGGGAGACCTGAGGACCTACGCCGATATTCGCACCGGAGTGCAAAGGGAGCATTGGCACGGGGCTGCTGTTGTGCGACTTTCACATGCAAGAGGTTGGGGAGCTATAACATCACGACTACACGCATCAAAGCTCTACGGAGTGTGACACCATGCCGACGCTCGATCAGATCGTGAAGGGTGCACCGGCACCCAACGCATCTGTCAACAAGGTCGCAGCCTCCGCATACGCAAATCCCCCACCGCACACGGCCGCCCTCCAGCATCCTCTCCCACACCATGTCATCGACGTCAAGACACCGCGTCCATCCACCCTCAGCGATCCCACATGCCTCCTACCGAGCTCGCCGCCGCAGATCTACCTCAATCTCCTCATCCTCGAAGCCAGCCTGCGCAGCCAGTACCTTACTCTTCGCGCCCGGCGGCGGCAGAACACATTTGTCCTCACGCTACTCGCAGTATGGATAGCATTCTTCTTCTACCTGTTGTGGCTGCGGCCGAGAGAAGACGGCAAAGGCATAGGCGGCTCACAGTACTGGCTCGTCGACATGCTGCAAAAAGTCGGCTTCATCACCGGCGTCGTCACAGCGCTGCTCTTCTGGGCAACAGGCCAATGGGAGCGCGGCGTCCGCTGGCCACGGCGCTGGATCGGCGTTGCGAACCGCGGTCTGCGCGGCATGAATGCGAAAATCGTCGTCATCCGCGGCCCATGGTGGCACGAACTCGTAGAATGGGGACGCTTCATCGTGCCCTTCTCCGGCGGCTTATGGGGCGGCGAGCAAGGCGGGAGTTCATACCACTTCATCAACGTGGTGCAAGAGAAGAACCACGCACTCGACACTGGCCGTCCTCGCCATAGAATCGTCGAGGACGGAAAAGAATACGCAGAGGAAGACATCGCGCCGGGCGGTGACTACATCAAGCTGCTCCTCCTCCCCAAACCATTCACCCCCGATTTCCGCCAGAACTGGGAAATGTACCGCGCCGAATACTGGGAGCACGAGAACGAGCGGCGCCTCGAGCTTAGGAAACGCGTACGCGCCCGCCAGCGCGAGATCGCGCGCGAAGAAGGCGGGCTGCTCTGGTGGACGGGTTGGCGGGGTTGGAAGCGTGCGCGAGGCTTCTCTGGCCGCAGCGCTGATGTGGAAAAGAGCGGTCATGCGCACAGCCATTCGCATAGTCTGAGCGCGAGTAACTCCCACCGCCGACGACGACCCAGCACACTCCAACATGGCAGAGATGGGAGCCACTCCCGCACCTCATCGCGCAGCTCCACCCCCGGACCAGACGACGAGCGTCTTCGCCCCCTTGAGTCACGGGAACGTAGGTGGAGTTCTAGCACCGCAGGTTCCACACGATCTACCTCCGCCCCGAGGGGTAAAACGATCACACAAGGCAACGCTGCGTCGGCGCGCCAGCCCCCTGTGAGACCGCATTTGCCTGGCAGTAGCGGGAGTGGAAACAGACCAGGCACGAGGACGAGTATGCTCAGCAATGCGTCGAGCCTGAGCGAGCTGGATGATGGCTGGTATGAGGCGACGAGTGAGAGTAAGCCCCGGTCGCAAGTGAGGAGGAAGGGGAGTCGGGAGAGTGTGAGTGGGAGTGGGAGTTGGAGCGGGAGTGGGAGTGGGAGTGGGAGTGTGAGTGGGAGCGGGAATGGGAAGGAAGCTGCGAGTGCGTGAGGTGAGCTGGAAATTGGTGATGTTGGTGGCGATGTTGATGTTTGATGATACCATGCCCGCATTACACTTCTTGAAGAAATATGAATCTATGCTTACGCTTTCATTCCAAAACTGCCCCCCCCCCCCCCCAAGCTCTGTGCTACGGTACTATGATTATGTCTTGACGCAGCTCATGTTGGATATTTCCGCACTCGCTGTCCTTGATCTGATGAAGATGCACACGAGAATCTTTAGGGGCGTCTTGCTTCGCCGGTGCCATTTCCGTCTCCCCGAACTGCTCCAGTACCCAAAGTTCGCCTTGCTTCGTGAAACGGTTTGGCGTTATGCTGATGCCGTGGGAACGACAACTCGAAACTGCTCAACCCAAAAACTGACAAGCAAGTCATTCGCTAATCCACTGGCCTTGAAGCACGATAGGAAAGGCGGTTTTTGAAGAGGAAAAAGGGCGGACTTGGTCTAGTCTACAGAAATAAGACGGATAACGTGACATTGGATTACAGGGTCTGGTTAGTAATCTAGCTCAGTACGTGCGGTGTGGAGGCAAAGATGTGTCCAGGGTCAATATCGACGGTGAGCACATTGCTTGGTGCTCCCTCGTGAATACGTGTGCTTCAACACCCGGCTGTTTGTTCACTAGACATCCATCTGGAAAAGAGGGCAACCCAAAGTGAGGGTTCACCAATAATTCAACGACGATTGTAATTTCGAGATAGCACATCAATCTACATGGTAGCTACGACTAGTCTAGACCTGCACCTTACAGCTCTTCTGCGCCTTTGCCTTCGGGTCACTCTCACTCGTCACAGTCAACTTGACAGTCGCCTTATCAACAGCACCATACCCGCTCCGCACAGCGACCTTGACCTCCGTGCTCTCACCAAACTTGGCATACGCCAGCGCATTCGGGACGCCGACTTCCCACCCCTTGCCCTCGACCTTAGCATCCAGCCTGAAAATATCAGACCCCAGATAGGCAGAAAGATCCTGCGGATGCACGCTCGTAGTGTTCGTGCCCGCCTTGCCGGTGTTGTCGAGCTGGAACGTGCAGTACAAGCCCTCAGACGACGAGTTCCCAGAAACAACGCCCTGGCGCAGCTTGACATGGTGCTTCGCGGTTGAAGTCTCGTTCGTCGACCGCACGCCAACCGTGTAGTGCAAAACACCAGCCTCGTCACGGTCGATATCCAAAACATAGAAATGCAACCCGTTCGCCTCATCCACAAACTCGTACTCACTCCCCGACCCTGTCCCAGCATGAAACAGCGCATCAACCAACTGTCTGTAATCGCCGATACTCCAGTACCGTGCGGTGCCATTCGGCAGGTAAAAGTCCACCACGTGCGCATCCTGCGGGTTGGCGTCGATGACCCACTGGAACGGCTGCGTGCGGTCGCTGTTCTTGGTCTTGCTGATCATGACGCCCGAGTCGGGGCAGAACGAGTCGGCGCCCATGCGGTCGACGACTTCGAGGTTGTAGTTGTTGTAGCCGCGGCCGTCGCACAGCGCGTCGGTGGATATGTTGCACGCTGGTGCCAAGTCGCCAGTGCTGCCGAAGGTGATGTTGAAGCCCATTAGGCCGGCGCCGGGGTCGACGGAGCGTGCGGTAATCTCAGCGATAACAGGACCGGAAGTGGCAAGTCCGGAGCGAGATATTTGGAGGATGGGAGTGTTGTCGATCAGTCCGATTTGGTGCTTGTCGCGCATGGTGTGGAGGGAGCCCATGGATCCGCCTTGGACCGGAGGGATTTGCCAGCGGGAGTGAGGACCTCCGGGGCCATTGAAGGAGCCGCGGTCGAGCATGCTGAATGGTCCAGTGTAGGCGCGGCGAGGAGGGACACTGTAGGGGTTGTTGTAGTTGTCGCCAATGCCGAGAAGGTGAGAGAGCTCGTGAGCGAAGGTGGCCGTACCACTCGATTCACCCTGAGTAGACGAACCGCCGCCAGCGTTGGGCCAAATAGTGGAGGCTGCAGCCCAAGAAGTCCAGTTGACATAGCGAGTGTTGGCGTAGTTGGGGAGCGAGCTGTTTGCTGGAGGTCCGAACTCCTCTGGGACGTCCTCCTTGCTCAGGAACTTCATCTCTCCGAACTCTTGCCACGTCGAAGACTCGTCCTGTCCAGCAGACAAGATGAACGCCAACTCGAATGCATCAGCTGTTGCATTGCCTACGTCCCGACGCCACGCGCCGAGAGCGTCTGTTCGAAGATCAACGGAACATGGTGGGCCTTCCGGGCAGGCATCCCCGTTAAAGCCACCGTCCTCATCGTCAACACCGTACTGATAGCTCTTTGCGGGCATGCGGTAGGGGCCGAAGACGGTCAAGTCAACGCCGTACTTGCCGAAAGAATCGCCCATCCAGTACTCATGGAGAGTGTGACCTTCATTGAGGTCGTTCGGTACGTTCAACAACTCGTGGTAGAATTTAGGGACGTCCTCTCGTGCTAAGCCAGCGGCGAGTGGTTGTGGGTTGCCGAAGATATCAGAGTTGGGCGCCAAAGTGACGACGAATGGAGAATCTGAGGTAGATGTGTTAGCCCTGCTCAGCTTGTAGTCTAGCTTGATCTTTTACTTGCCAGGGTAGTCGACGGTGACCATGGCGATGTTGAAGTTGCGCTCCCGTCCTTTGCGTGCAGGGTCGCTCCAGGACGTGCTTGGTGGTGCAACAAAGTCGTCCCACGTCATGTTGTCCGGATTGATCCAGTTTTGAGGGTCAATCGGGGCAAAGGGAGCTGTTGGTGCCCTCGGCCTCAGGAGATGCGCCGGGAACGCTGATGCTGTGTCGAGCATTGCAGCCGCGAGCACGACCATTGAGGCCGACGAGCGGCCTTTAGGCACCATCGTCGCAGTCGTTCAAGACTGTAAGATCTCGAACAGTGGGCTTGTTTTTCGAACAATCGAAGAATGGTCAAGTTGGACAGACAAGAAGTTATCGCGACGGCGGCGACGTGGACTAAAAGCAGAAAACCTACATTGTACCTGCATACCCTGTCTTCCGAGCTCCAAGCTCCTCACTTAACCATGCTACGTAACGATGGCAAACATGTTTGTCCAAGAGATGGAGAACGCTTATACAGATGCCTGTTGCAGTATAGCGTGATGCTTGAATGTGCGCCCTATTGCTTGGCTTATCGTGGCACCTGCTTATTCAAGAAAGATATTCGGGCCAATGCCGACAATGGTGAACTTGGCATCTCGGGTACGATGGGTACAATGATAGAGTGTTCTCGTTGATAAATCCGAAGGTGGCTGGGTGGAGTGACATTGAAGATGCTTTGCCGCGGGTATCGGTGCTTGCAAAAATGTGCAGACCCCCCTTGACCTTGGTACAGTGATGCGTACAGTAGGTGTGTACCGTGGTTCATGAAGGCGGACAGCCTTGTGAGTGTCCGTTCACCACGTTGTTGCCCTGCAGGACATGTACCAGACTGTCAGTTCTGTCAACCAAGATAGAAACAGCCACTTAGAAGCCTTCATTTTACATAACATAAATCTGTTGCAGTAGTGAACCAAGTTCAGGGCGGTCTCTACATTTCAGCAACCATTGTAGAAGCTTTTGGCGCTGTGGAAGAGGGCTTGTTCAAGCCTTCTGCATGGATTTGATGACACGATTGGTCGCAGCGTGTCGTGCGATCCGCTAGGAACTCTTCGTAGCAGTCATCGAAGTCGGGATGAATATAATGCAAGCGATGATAAAGTTGTGTTTTCCTGTAACGCGTCACATCACTCTAGCGACATGTGCAGGATCCGGAGAAAAGTGCGGAGGAGCACAACGTCTGTTGTCACTTACATGATGCAGAACAGTCAGATTGTCTAATGGTACCCTGTCCAAAGACGCATCAGACAATCCTCGCCTGTGTGCCAGGCTTGTCCAATGCAATGTACTTCCCCAGCATGTAGCCTGCCCCTGCACGTGAGTAGATCTCCTCTTCATAGTCTGGCCTTACTTCAGCTGCAGTGACAAGTAACACGTAGAATCTCTTCTCTCCAGGGGCTCTCCCATCGTCAGACCTGGCAATGATAACGCATCGCGCACGCTGACCATCAACACCTCTTGTTCTCTCCGTATCATAGGTGAGCTTGATGTCTCCAGACTTGTAGCCAGCAGTGTTGAAGTCCCTTACGGTGGCCATCAGTTCAGGTCCACCGCCTGATGCTAGCGATGTAGAATTCTCGGTCGTGCCTCCTGTCCATGATGGTACGATATCATCTCTCTCCCATATAGCCGACTCGAAGGGAGGGTCTGCGTAGCTGATTCCTCCTTTGTATGCCATCCACGACCAGCTTGGCACAGAGATCTCTCTTTCGGCAGGAAAATCAATTGGAATCAAGCATTGCTCGTCACTTTCCTCTTCGCCCCGCTGCCACAACAAGCTGCGATGAAAAAGTCCGCCATTAGCTTTGTTGCCATCGTCGAAGATTCCGTAGCCTCCCTTTATACCGAACGCTTCTTGAAGCCGCTTCTCTAATCCTGCAATAGCAAGCGGTCGATCTTCATATCTCGTAAAGTCAAGACGAGAATACTGCTTGTACAACTCTTGAAACCATGAAATTTTCAAGGCGCGAGAGGTAGTCCGCATGGCTTTGTCTGGAAAGTTCGGATCACCCAAGAAATCAGCCATGTTGCTTTAATTCGTTTGTTAGCAAGGTGCTACACTTGAACCACAATAAGTCTAGGATGGATCCATGACTTACTTTTTCATGGTTGTCAGTGTCTCGCACCGTACACCTTTTCCACATTCAAAGTATGTTTGAGTTTCAGTGAAGTATACCGTTCGACGCGCAAGTGCCCTCTCTTGCAATACCCATCCACGCTTGTTCAGCGAGCCTTCAATCACGTCTTTGCTGAAGTTATCGATAGTTCTGCAGACGTAGAAGGGTTTCTCAGTTCCTCTTTGGAAAGCGACATATTGACGCTGGGGCCGAGTGCCAAGAAATCCATCGAGTTGACTGCTTGCCCGGCTAGCAGCAAGTACGCAGTAGGCTCCACTGAAGACGTCTTCCATCTTTTTAGCTTCCTCATTGAAGTCACCATCTAGACCTTGGATGATGCATATGGAATCAATCCACAAATATCGAACCTCTAGTCTGCGCGTACAATCAACTGCGTCTCTGAACGTTGCGGGTAGCTCGGTGTAGGGTATGGCTTTCTTGAAATGCTCGATGTCATGCTGCCTCCCACTGTCATCCTTTCGCAGCGTACTGAAAGGCTCGTACATCCTAGTATCACCCCATGGGTGAGATAGCGCAATGTATTCTCCACTTATGGGTCTTTCCTGGTCCGTCTCTATGACACGTAGTTGTGGATGTGTCGGCGTGCCGACATCGATCAGCCTTGTCGGTAGCAGTCCACGGTTTTTAGCTCTGCATTCGCTGTGATCTTGATCAGTGTTGCAATTGCGGAGCCAAAGTTTCACAATACTAAAGAACGTATCGCTTTGGGGGTTTGGAAGCTCCGGGAAGCCTAGTTGTATGTGAAGTGGCGGCTTCGCTTCTAGGAGGTGTGATGTTAGCAAAAACCCTCTGCTAGTACTCCTCAAGCCAGCATGATTGAGGGATATGATGATGATGTTTGTGTACACAACTGGTTATCGATATGGATGTAATTAAACTTACCGGGACTTCGGATGATAGATAGCACAGGATACGGGTCGCCTGTCAACATAAGATTTGACTGTTTTCTCTCGATTTGTAGCTTGTCATTCTTGATGACTTCGTTGTGCTTGCAAGCCATTGCAACAAGCCCACAAAAGTCACATGTCTTTGCGCGAAGATGCAATGCCGACAACTCATCTTCCAGCTTGAAGCTTGATGCCCAGAAATTCAGAGCTTTACAGCGGCTACAAAGCTTGGTTCGCACTCTCGTCGAAGGCACCATTGCTTCAGAGCCCACTTCAAGCAGAACAGATTCTGCGAACAAATTGTCAACATTGAACTCCCAATCTTTCATCGGCGGTAGTGTATAGTCTGCAGGTCGTATCGGTACCCCAGGCATTTCGGTAAGTACCCCGATTGGTGGGCGTAGCTGTAGACTGCCCAACCTTGGCAGGTCCGTCCTATCTCGACTTTGCGTTGTGGATGTGGATGTGGACGGCATGCTCGGTCGCAACCTCGGTGGCTTAATATGATCCCTGTCCCCTCCAACGAGTAGATATTCTTTGTTGCTGATCTTTGCAATGATCTCATCAAGTGCATCTCGAAACTCCACGGCAGTTGCTCGATAACGGGTTGTGATTTGGCCGAGTTCAGGTGCTGCGAATCCTCGACCACCGGCGATTGCACTCGCTCTGTTTGGAGGTAACGGCACAACTAGCAGCTTCTCTCGAACGAGTCTGATGAGATCGCGAGTTGCTGAGTCACGTTGGCACTCCGGGTCGACCTTCTCAATGTGACTTATCCATCGTAGCACAACTGGATGGACTTCAGCGCGACGCGCTTGTCCTACGTCTAGCATCTCGAAGTATTGACAAAGTCGCTGTTTATCACCACCCTGGACCTGGGTATAGAAATTATTGAGCTCATCGTTTCCGTACAGAATCCATATAATGAACTCGAGTGTAATACAGCCCATAGACCAAATGTCGTAGAGTCGTGATCGCGGCCCCTGGAGAGTATCGACAGCTTCGGGAGCCTCATAACGGATTGTCCCGTACCTTGTACTTGTGAGGTGTTTCCGATCCTGTGTTGCAACGATGTGTTGTTTTGCCAGTCCCATATCTGCAATCTTCAGCGTCCCGAGACTTATGCCTGTACCCACAAATCTTAGAATGTTCTCAGGCTTCAAGTCCCCGTGTCTTATGTTTTTCGGATTTGGGGTCTCGAGGGGCTTCGTTACTTCGTTGTCCTCGTTACGGATCTGGATGTTCAAATTGATCGAATCCTCGTCCTCGTCCGTATCATTCTCATCGTTGCGGCTAGCACGGGCTCTGACACCATCGTGCAGGCTTACGAGAGCGTCTGCAAGACCCCTCAGCTGTGTAACAGCTTGAGAGATGATATCTCCAGTCGGACATTGCCATCTCGTATTGTCCCAATAATCTCGTAAGCTATCCCCGTCTGCCCAAGGAAACATGAAGTAACGATTATCGCCTCTTCGTATAGCTGCAACGCACTTGATTATGTGTTTGTGGTTGAGCTCATTGATACTCGCTAAGGCTTTTGCTTCATCTTCCCAAGCCTTGTTTGTGCCGGTTTTGTCGTTGCCACGTTTGATTTGAATCTCCTTGATAGCCACCTAGTAATGATTAGTAAATCCAATTCTCCATAGCATAAATGTGGCCCCAGCCTCGCATAAGTCTGACGGTCTCCCTAAAAGTTGAGCAGAACCAACTTTACTTGGAACCCAGGTGTCAATTCCATAGGCAAGCTACCTTGAGTTCTCAAGATGGGCGTTGCCTGAGATCGCGCCACGAAACAGTACATGACTACCGTGTCCACTAAACAGAATATATTATGAATATCATAGCCGGAGGATAAGGAGGACGTTGAGGAAGAATAACACGTACCTGTTCCATGTTTACATGTCTTTGGTGATCGTCGCGTATTACTACCCTGTGAACAAAGCTGAAAGCGCCGACCTTCGGCGCTGCGCCCACTTTGGTGAAAGGAAAGATGTAGTTGTCATACAAGAGATCGTGGTCGTATTTGGCGCAAGAGAAAACAGGAACCAGACATTTCCATTGTTTCTCGTAGAAATTGTGAATTTTCACCGGGGTCCAGAGCTTGACGGACGACGTCCAGATTGCCGGAGGAAATATCTTAGTTGACGGCATCAAGTCTGGAATAGGTAGGGATTCATCTGTAAAGTTGTTGTCCCGAAAAATCGACATGGCGATGACCAAAAGTATCGGATCAGATTCGCATTGGAGGGCCACAGCAAACGTTCTGGGCGCATTTTTTAGTATCCACGTAGCAAGCTCTTCGCGATATTCAATGTCGCAATTCATCTTTTGGATCTTCTTCTTTTTCTTATCCTCAGGTAAGCTTCTGAATTCGCCATCGAAGCTGTGCAGTTCTGTCGCGATCGCAGACTGAGTTACGAGATCTTTCAAACAACCTTCAGGGAGGTAATCACGTGCCGGGTCATGGAAATTGCTGGAAACAAAAGACTTGAGTATCCGATCCACCAAAGGCGCATTCTGGGGCTGTTCTTCATCTTCCTCGTCATCCTCCTCATCGTCATCGAGCTCTTCGTCCCAAATGCCCATGATGTGCTGCTCGATGTGTTTGGATGACTCGCGTGGTGGTCGTTGATCCACTTGCGCTTCGACGTTGCGTTGCGCGCATTCTACGCCTCGTGGGAAGACAAAGAAGTGGAATCTAACGTAACAAGATTTGGACTTGCGTTGGATGATTTCTCCCTTCTCCACTCCTTTTAACACTTCCTACTGACAGCTGAGGGCCGAAGAGCCGCAACAACGCCAAATGCGGGCTTGCAGCAACCTCAACGAATGGGACCTCGACACGTCCCAGCCGTGTGCGCCACCGATACTCAGCTGCGTGCGGAGGATGTAGCCCGAAGCGACTAGTTGCATGGCGCGACGTCCGGACCCCACGCTCTTGGACCCCACCAGTTCGATGGTGCGTGATCGATGTTTCGCTTAGCGCTTTCGAGTGAGGCGAATGAGAGGGCTGCAAGCTGTACGGCTTCATTGGGCCTAAACTGCTTAGAAATTGACTTGGCGTTACGATGGCCCCTGTAACGTCCTGGTGGATAGAGCTCTTCGTGCAAGAGAGCTTTGAACCGCAGCAAAAGCAAACGACGCAAGATTCGGCCGAAGCCTAGGCAACCCATGAACAAAGCTGCCTGTTGTACGAGAAGTCCAAGAAGTAAAACGAACTGTGAACAAACAAGTAAACCAAAGACCATACACACCACATATCAAAGACTAGAAGCATTCCATGTAGTTCTTAACATGACATTAGGAGCAGCCGGAACTTGCAACACTAATTGGTGCCGCGGCGTTGCCGCCGTAGAGCCTGACAAGGTATCATGCCTTTTGGGCTTGCGGAGTCTGGGGACGTGGGTACCGTATCCTCTTTGATTTGGAGGACCACTGCTTGCGATATCGACTCGCGTTTGATGTGCCAAGGCTTACCTACAGTCGCATACTCCTGATTCTTGCAGCACTCTTGGTACATCTTGTCCAACTTGACCCAGACTTCCTCGCAGGATTTACGCTCTTCCGAATGAATAACGAGCATATCACGCTGTATGACATTTAGAAGATCGTGGCAGTAATCGGTACATTGCGTAAGCTTGTGCAAGCGATCGATGAACTGCGGAGCATTGGTCAGCAACTGTAGATTACATGCACTCAATGGAGACGGACCCGAGTGACGGCTTTCTTCACCATGAACTCATGTGTATTCTCTCCAGGAATCCGGAGGGCTTGGAAGAAAGCGTCGGTCGTTAAGTTGTTCTGGAATAGATCCGGGGTCATTCTCGATCGGCTGAATTCCATAAGAAGGTCATAACCACCAAGAAACCAGGTCAGGAACTCTAGGTAAACGCAGCCTAAACACCACATATCGTAGGTCTGACGGATTGTCGGAGGTATTCGGTCCAGCCCTTGGTCGCACTCAGGCGGTCGATAGGTCAAAGTAATGGCAACCTCTCGTTCTTTGGTTTTGCTTTTCAAAGTGTTTAGCTCCGCTTGACCGAAATCCGCAATCTTGAGAGTTCCTTTCAGGGCGTCCGGCACACCATCGGTGTCGTCATACCAAAGGATGTTGCCAGGATTAATGTCCCCATGGCGGCCATATTGCTTCACGCCATCCTCTTCTGTAACGGAATCAGATTGACGCCGAGTAGGGATGGGTTCTTGAAGCCCGTGTGCCATTCTCGAAGGAAGTGGGCCGAACATGACTTGCTTCTCGGATCTTGGGAGGTCTTTGGCCTGATCTTCAGCCACTAAGATGCGTCAGCGATCAAGTTTGCCATCAAAAATAGCACTGGTGTGTAAGTACACCGGTCATTCTACAAGGGTGTGTCATGTAAGGACAACGAAGTGGTAACGAAGAATGGCGGCTTACGCAAGGGCTCTGGTGAAACTATTTCCTGTAACCCACTGCGACGTCTTGTAAACGTCAAGTGCCTGTGCAGTCTCAACAAGCCATGAGACAACCCAGCGCACTGTTTGGCTAGCCAAGCCACGTTGGTGTGATTGCAAACTGGCCGGCTTTGAATGTCGCTCCAATACGCGAACATGTCGCCCTCAGCTCGATAGAAGATTAGGTGCAGTTTGTTGAACTGCTCGAATGTTGCCAGAAGAGAGACAATATGGTCGTGCCCTCTACAGCCACTGAATTTCTTCAGAACCTCGATCTCTGTCTTGAAAACCCGGGCATCACTCTCGTGGAGCTGCTGCTTTATAGCGAAGCCCCGTGTGCTTAGTCTTGTATCCTTGAAATCATGATGATCTTCATGGATCTTGACCATGACAACCTTTCCATATCCACCAACTTTTTCGGCATCTTCCTCATGTGTGTCATTGGCGTCCAGGAATGGCAGGATGTGTTGATCTCGAAGAAGATAGTGCTTTACATCACCATCCTTACCTTGGGCAAAGAACGGTGCAAGCAGCCTCCATTGCTCCACTTGAAAGTTCAAGAGCTTCACAGGTGACCACTTGGAATGCTTGAAGCATCTGAGCGCCTTGTCTGAACTTTGTCCGGATGCATTCCTTCGACAGAGTCCCTTGATCTTTCGCGTAGTGGGCGGAAGAAGAGGTAAATCCAGATCACTCACGTCCTCTGCTAGGAACAGTCTGATCGATGATACTGTCTCGGAGATAACTAGTAGCGCAAAGATCTTGCGGAACGACTTGATCTTCACTTTCTTGTCTCGCTCGATCTTACTGCCACGGCATATTTCGGTGGCCAATTGTCGAATTTCTTGTTCTGTGAGAGTACCTTCAAATTCCTTCTGAAGCTCATGGGCAACTGATTCCGGATTCACAAGGCGCGACAGTTCATTCGCTGGCAAGAACCGATGAACTTGACCCTGATAGTTCTTGGTATGTTCGAAGGCGTTCACAAGTCCTTCTTGCAGTTCGTATTGGGACTGCAGTTCGTACTGAGAGTCACTGTCAGAAATATCGTCTCCTGACTGCTCAAAACATGACAGGGTTTCGAAAGAATCTAGTCCAGTGGCGGTATTTTGTTGCCGATGAAGCTGCTGTTGGCCGCCGGCATCAGATATGACATCGATGCTGGGTTCGCGCGAAACATGATGCGGTAGCTGGACCGGCAATTCCAATGACGCCCCCAATGATGACGTGTAGGGTCGTTGCGCATTACACGCTGCTAGGTGAGGCGACCTAGTTGAAGCAGGTGATGAGTGCTAGGTGCAAACGTCAGGCAGAATTTATTAGATTTGGGTAAGACTATGCTTACGAAGGTTCCCACATATTCTGGCTCCACACAGGCTTGCGCGCCAGCAATGGTATGATCATCCTGGAAATACTCTGTACCTTTCGTTCTGCGGCGATACGGAGTTCGCTGCTGGCTCCAGTCCAGGCGGTCATTGACAAACGTTGATACAGCCGTTGATTCACTATCAGACTCAGCACCAGGTATCGGGTCGAACGATATTCGGCTCGGATATTTCGCTTCCGCTGCTTCGCCTCCATCATTGGATCCCGTGAATGAGTCGTCTCGGATGTCCGTGTGCCCAGGTGTTTCGTCGTTGCTGATGGTTTGTAGCGGGCTGTGCGTATACCTGGACCCTGGTGAGAGTTCGGTGTCCGCGTCATCATAATCACCACGTGGTATCTCTTCAACGGAGACATTTGGCACCTGGAAAAGTACTTGTTCCGAAGCTAAGCTCTTGATTGTGTAGATGAACGATCGTGGTGTCGAATCTGCATTGTGCGCAGAGCTGCCTGTGGCTGAGGGGTCGAGAGGAGGCACCCGAGAGTGACTCAAAGAGTTATCTGCCTGACTGGTCTGCATTGTGACTGAACAAGGGATGTTTGCGTCTGCCCAAACGCCAGTATTCGTGGTCGAAGACAAGAGGCGGTGCTGAACATATACAGCCTGATCCATACGGGCGCGAAGGACCGCACAGAGCCAGGCTGAGTCGCTGTACCATGGCACGCATAAGGCCAATACACGCGTGCATATAGCCCGTGCTGTCACGATCGATGTGGCTGACCATTTGCCCTCTTTAGGCGGCAGGCAAATGTCGAGAGCGCCAGACCGGTCAATGTTGGGGCGTCTAAGTGGTGGGGTCCAAATGCACGCGCGCGCAGCGGTTTGATGTGCAAGGCGCAGCAGCAGCAGCTGAAAGCAACCCCAGCCTCAGGGCCACCGTCAACTCTTATTAAATACAAACACGGTGATCGAGCTGCCTCAATCATTCAATTTTCGGCGGCAGTATCCTCTACAACAAATCCAGAATTCGCTCGCCTAGTTTCCAGGAATATTTCGAACCAACAATGGCTACTGCTCACTGTGTGGAAGCACAGTTGTCGCCCTTCCACGCATTCCTGTCGCACGATGAACCTTGCAATGTCATTCCAGATTTCGACGCTGTACAGTCCATATCGGGGAGGAACATAGACTCGCAGAAGTTGAAAACTCTCTTGAGAGCCAAGTTCGGGGCAGGGGCATACGACGTACATTACATGCAGAACTCTTATTGTGTGGTTGCACCACGAAGACTCTCAGACGTAAGCCACGCGATCGTAGCTGAAGTGATACAGCACTAACAACTTGTAGGGAGAAATCGCCAGATGCCAACGACGATGAGAATATGCTCATCTGATGTGATGCGTGACTTTCGAGGCCTACTACGTACGCTATGTGGTCTAGCAAGACCTCAGCGTAAGGCGCACTCAATCCTTTCGAGTGATGGCCTCCAAAATTGATCGCGGACAGCTAGCTGGTCTGGCAAGAGAAGGATTAGACTAAAGCACACGAAAGACGATGAAGGGCGGGTGTGCGAAGATTTGGCCCCCACGATGCCGATAATGCGCCACGCTAGCCAAATTCGCTTCGCTCGGCGGCGCATCATCGATACTTGACTACATTCTCGACGCAACTTCTTCAACTTTTCAACCCCAATGTCCTATTTAGCAGCATTAGCGTAGCATTCCCGGACTGCACAGTCCATGGCGTTTCAAGGAAATATGTACCGCATGGCAAAACAAACAATCGTACTTAAATGAGAAGAAGCGAAATCCAAAGCCAGAAGTCTCCCGTGCAGTGGACATATGCTCTCCTTTATAGCTGAGCTTGAGGTCCTCCATCGTGGCTGTGCTGCTTTGTCTTCCTTGCAAGTGCAGACCACATGAACATCCGTATTCAGTAGTCATCTTGACCAAACACGCATCAACATGTACACCATCTCAACTAGTCAACGTCACGATCTGTCTCAATCCAAAATCTTTCGATAGCTAGCTGCACTACAACGAACCACTAAGAGCAATCTTCCACACGGTGCTGGACATTTTCAAGTAGACCTCGTCATCTGCAAAAAGTATCGGCCTTCTCTATGCGACCTATGTATGATGACCCCGTGACGACCATGATGTCCTCCAAACTGATCTTTGGGCACCTTTTCGGACTCGATTATGCATCACCTTGACCGGTGCCATCATCGCCTCAGCTTTTCCAGGCGAAAAACGCATGAACGAAGACCGAAACCAAATCACCGGCTCCTCGTCCCGACAGTCTCGGGACAGGACGACGCAAAAGTCTGCCTGATATGAACACAACCACGAACTGTGGCAGTGTATGCAGGAACAACTACACTCACACCACAACACCACTGCCTTAGCCCTCAGGCATGAACAACAACCATCACCCTCGTTATCAGCTTTCTTGTTGACCCGAAGATTTGGAACCAGGCAAAAGCAGGCAAAGAAGGCGCAAGCGCGCGCTTGATACGAACGAGAGTCTGCAGCATGGCAGTGCACGCAGGTACTAGATGACGATCGGTGAACAGGGCAAAAGGGCAATACGTGAAGCAGAGCGCCTGAGGCAGCGAGATACTGTAGATAACGGTTTGCTAATACAGTCTGGTCTCTCGAGTGTCAGTGATCCGCATATTTTAGACTTAATATATAGTATAGGTTGAGAGTAGACAATATGAGAAGCAGCAGCAACGCGGCACAGGAACATCGTTGAGCAGTTGATAGGAAGCAATCAGCACAGTGCACTTCAAGAGCTCAAACACGGCATACCGCTCACAGGTTCAAACATCAAGTCATTCATGAAGTGTATATACCAATGCATTCATGATCCCCACTATCTCATTCCATCATCATGCAATGATGCAATGATGCAATCATGCAGATATGCCGTCTCATCATTAACGAAACAAGGAAACTCATCAAAACGTGCAACAAAAAAGAGCCAAAACAAACAAGGATCGGAGAGACAGAACCACAAACAGCCAGTCTACCGTCCAAAACATCCGACCAGCACGATCTTACGCTTACTCACGCAACGACGGAAACCGGACGGGGTATAATGCCACACAGCGCGAAAACAAAACAGGAACCTGTACAATCTCTTTCCACCAGCACCGCACCAAACCCAGGTACCAACTGTCAGGCAACGAGCATCTAAGCCTCAGCAACAGCCTCAGCCTTGACACCGTTCTCCTTCGGCTTCTCTGCCGCAGCAGTAGTCAGCTCCTTGATCTTGGCGTCCCTTTCTTTGATCTTCTCCAGGACATTCTTGTTGAGAGTCTTGAGGGACTCCTGACCCTTCTTCGCTTCTTCAAGTTCATTCTTCAGGGTGTCGAGCTCGGTCTTGCTAGCCTCGCTAGACGCCCTGAGGGTAGCGAGCTCAGCCTCGAATTGCTGTGACTTCTCCTCCTGAGCCTTGCGGGCAGCGACAGCCTCGTCGACGGCCTTGACGCTAGCTGCTGCCTTCTCTTCCGCCTCCTTTGTCTGCTGTTGCGAAATCTCCAAGGCCTTTGTAGCTTCAATGAGCTTGTTGTCTGACTCCTTCTTGAGCCCTTCGATGGCCTTAGCAGATTCTGCAGCTTTCTGTGACTCAGCAAGCTGCGCCTGAAGATCTGAGACCTGAGCGTCCTTTTCGGCCTTCTCCTTGGTGATAGCTTCGACGCTGGACTCTAATTGAGCGACCTTAGAATCGTTTGCCTTGATCTGCTCCTCGAAAGTAGCCTTCTCAGATGCTGCCTTCTCGGCAACAGCCTTGTGCTCTGCAATTTCGCTAGCCATGGCATCGGCACGGGCCTTGCTGTCAGTTGCAGCACTGTGCTCGTCTGCCAGCGACTTCTCAGCCTTGTCTTGCGCCAGCTTAGCAACCTTAAGCTCCTCCTGAGCAGATGAAAGGCTAGCCTTTGTCTCATCGTGAGCAGCCGTGGCACTCTTGACAGCATCGTCGTGGGCGCTCTTTGCGCTGGCAAGCTCCTTCTTGGTAACCTCGTGGGAAGACTCTGCTTCCTTCAAGGTCGCGCTATGGTCAGCAGTAACTTTGTCGAGCTGGCTCTGTAGTTCAGCAGCCTTGGATCCGTCCTGCTGAGCCGATCTCAGCTCACTCTCAAGATCGTCCTTAGACTTCTGAAGAGCAGCCAGTTCCTCCTGGGTAGATGAAAGGGTGGACTTCGTTGCTTCGTGTGCCTTCTCAGCATCAGCCTGAGCCTGTTGTGCGGTCGTCAATTTGTTCTTTGTCTCTTCGAGTCCGGATGTGCTAGCCTCCTGAGCAGCTTCCAATTCGCCAATACGGCTGTTGAGCTTCTCGATATCCTTCAGAGCCTCTTCCTTAGCGGCAAGATCCTTCTGGAGAGCAGCGATCTGTTCGTCGGCCTTGCTGCTCGATGACTTAGCAGCTTCTTGTGCCTCAGAAAGCTCAGCATCCTTGCTCTTAAGCGAAGCCTGGAGGCTCTCGACCTGTTCAGCTTGTTGCTTAGCACCTACCAGCTCCTTCTCAAGAGATGATATCTTGCTGGAAAGCTCGGTCGACTCGTTCTTCGCGAGGTCGCCAGCTTCGACAGCCTTGGCGAGTTCAGTATCCCGGGCCTTCAAAGAAGACTCCAGCTCCGCGACCTTGTTCTGAAGACCAGTAGCTTCACCCTTAGCAGACTCGGTAGCACTAGCGGCTTCCTGTTTGGCAACCTCCAAGCTCTTCTCGAGGTCTGCAATCTGAGCACCAGTAGTCTCCTTCAGCTTGCCAACATCTGCCTGAGCTGTGCTGCTCTTTGATTGTTCGCTTTCCAGATCGGCAATAGCAGAAGCCAGCTTCTTCTCCAGCTCTTGAACCTGGGATGACGACGACTCAGTAGCCTTCTGTGCGTCCTGCTTAGCAGCTGAAACTTCAGCATCCTTAGCAGCAAGATCGTCAGTCGCTTGCTTCAATAAGCTCTCAAGCTCGCTGATCTTCGACGACGAGCTTTCGGTGCTCTTGCTAACCTCCTGTTGTGCTGCTTGCAGTTCCGACTCTTTTTTAGCCAGGTTGTCTCGAGCCTCCTTCAAAAGCTTGTCCAGATCGGCGATCTTAGCCGATGAAACCTCTGTGCTGTTGCTGGCATCGCTGCGGGCACTCTCCACCTCCTTCTCCTTGACAGCAAGGCTGTCCTGTGCCTCCTTCAAAGACTGCTCAAGCTCCGATATCTTCTTGGAAGAAGTCTCAGTCGCTGCCGACGCGTCGCTTTGTGCCTTCTGAAGCTCCTGCTCCTTGACAGCAATATCCTCCTGTGCTTTCTTGAGAGAAGCCTCCAAATCTGATACACGAGCATCTGCGGAGCCGGTAGCGCTCTCAGCATCGCTTTTCGCTTTAGCAAGAGCGTCTTCAAGCTCGGCAACGCGGATGGCTGATGTCTCAGATGCCTTGGAAGCATCTGCCTTAGCACTCGAAAGTTCCTCCTCTTTCTTGGCAAGGCTGTCCTGAGCATCCTTCAGGGACTTCTCCAGCTCAGTAATTTGGGCAGTCAGAGTGTCGACACTGCTCCTCGCTTTCTCGGCAGCTTCGATAGCGTTATCTTTCTCAGTGGTGAGGGTGGCAATCTGGCTCTCCAATTCTGATGTCTTGGTAGCAAGGGCATCTTGAGCCTCCTTCAGGTCACCTTCCAACTTCGAGATCTTAGTAGAAAGCTCGTCAGCGTCACCCTTCGATGCGTCCGCAGCGGCAAGCTTTTCTTGTAGCTCGCTGATTTGCTTCTTGAGAGCTTCGATCTCGCTCTTGCTCGATTCAGTAGCAGCGGTAGCTTCCTTGCTAGCATTGGCAGCTTGCTCAGTCTTGCTGGCGAGTTCCTGCTTGGCTGACTCCAGATCGGAGGCACGGCTGGACAGCTCCTCCTTTGCACCGGTGAGCGCCTTCTCCAATGAGGAAATCTTGGCAATGTGCTCCTCAGATGCAGATGCGTTGGATGACTCGAGCTCGGAGAGCTTCAGACCGCGGGCCTCGTGTTCTTGGGAAAGCTTGTTGTGCGCCTCGGTCTGGGCATTGAGCTTCTCGGTGGCATCGGCATGGTTGGCTTGTAGCTCTTCGATCTGCTGCTTCAATGAGGCGACTTCACTCTGAAGCTGCTCGACGTTCTTGCTGCTGACCTCCTTCTCAGCTGTGAGTGCCGAGATGGTCTCGTCCTTAGCATCGAGGTCGGTCCTAGGGATGAGAGAGGCTTGATCGGCACGAAGCTGCTCTAGCTCCGCGTTAAGTTTCGAGAGAGCCTCGTCGGCGCTCTTCTTGTCCGCTGTAAGCTGCTCGAGCTCTGCGGTTGCCTTGACAAGCGACTTCTCAGCGGTGCTCTTCTCCTCCGAGAGGGTCTTGATTTCGTCGTCTTTCGACTCTAGCTCGGCCTTTGGTGCTGAATCGGTGGTCTTAGCTTCGAGATCCGCGATGGTACTCTTAAGCTTCTCGATCTCGCTCTTCAGGGCATCGATCTCGTTCTGTAGCTCGGTGACACGGACCTCGTGCTCAGCGTTGGTAGAAGCCATCTTGCTGTTGAACTCGGTCTCGCACTCTTCGCGAACAGAATTGCGCTCCTTGGTCTTCGCCTCACGAACTTGCTGCACGACAACACTGACCATGTGCTCCTCGAGATCCTTCTTGTCCTGTAGTAGCGTGGCTTCACGCTCTTCGAAGCTCCTCTCGCGCTCTTTGTGGTCGTCCTCGAGGGTTTTGACGTGCTCGTCCTGCTTGTTTGCAACAATGCGTGCTTCGTCGAGCTGTGCTTCGGCGTGGGCAAGCTGCTTCTTCAGAGCCTCGAGCTGCACTTCGTACGAGTCGTTAGGGTTGAGCGACGGAGGTTGAGCACCTGTGTTGACGCGGCGGATTAGCGAGGAGGCCGGTACATGCAGCGGGGCAGCGTGAAGTGAGAACGGGTAGAATGGACCCGAGCCTGACACAATAGGTTATTGGGCAGGCGGGGCGAGATGAATAAGAGGTTGCTTACCTGCGTCTGCGCCGGAAAAGGCATCTCTCGGCGTCTCGGGCGGTGTGTCGATGCCATTGTCGCCGGTCGTAGGCCTGGACTTGCTTGGTGCTGGTGCATGTGCTTCCGTTGTGGTGACTGCGGTGGTAGGTGAAGTCGGTGCGGCGCCAGCACCGCCGAAGAAGTAGTTGTAGGCCCTACGCATACTGCTTGTACGCTTGGGTAGTCCGGGACGAGTTGAATTCGTCGATCGTCGTCCTCTCGATTCTTGTTGCTCCACTGCTTCCTCGGTTGCAGCAGCTATCGTATCTTCTGAGCTCCTATGGCTCAAACCACTGTGGTTTCTGTGTGCCTGGGGAGGTCGAGCTGAATGGAGCTTTCGACCGAACTTGGAGGATCCGGATTCTATATCGGCGAGGATCTGCTTCTGCTCTTTGGCCGTTGCGCTGGGGTGGATGTCAGTACACTGTTATCGCACCGTAAACAAAGGCGGTGTGTCGAGCGAGGGGCAAGAACACCCAGAACAATGGGATTGTTGGAGAGACGAAGGATGTGAAACTCTGGCGTCGGCAAGCTGTTGCTAGAAAAGGAGCTATCTCTTACCAGAGCGAAGCGTGAAGGCAGCGTGAAGCGTGAAATGCAAAGGTGCGGTGAAGACGAAAAAAAAAGTCGGGATGACGGAAGATCACTCACTCATAGCTTTCCCTCGAGCGCCAGCTAGGCATGATTCAGTTCTGCTATCAATCACAGGGGCTCCAATAGCCTGCTAGCCTGTTCCTCCTATGAAAAGATTTTTGCCGATTCTGTCAAGCGGACGGGGGCGATTTTGGTCCTCCAGCGTGAGCTTTATGTACGGGCACAACGTGTGCATCTTAGCGTGCTTGTAATTGTATGCAGCCTGCAGCACCAAGGATAGTTGCTGCCCAGTCAGGATGCGCTGAGTAGGCGCTCTGCACGTTGCACACCTCGCATGGGGCAAAGTCAACACGCCGATTAATGCAAGCACAACACACAAGATCCCGTTGTGAGGTTGCCCGAGGCGAAGGACGGGTCGTGCTCAAGGCACGGCTCCACTTGATCTTACCGCCTCAACCAGGGTTCGGGCCTGCGGACGACAACCACAGCATCAAACATTGACGCCTGAAAACGCTGGACGACTACGCATCCCCGTCCACAATGGGCAATCATGGTGTTGAGCTCGCTGCTTGTAATTAAGGCTGTCTCGTTAGGATGCTGTTGACGGCTCCCATATCAATCATTCCATGTTGAAGCACCAACCCTGCCGGAAGACGTCAAACTGGGTACCCAATCACAGCACTGCACGTAGTGCTACCACGTCGACGTCGCGTGAGAGAGCAAAGGAATATCACCGAGGAAAGTAGAACGAGAACCGTGGTATCAACGGGGCGAACATGTCTCTATATCTGGTGCAATTGGTGTTGATTGACTCTTGTCTGAACTACAGGTCATCAGTGGAGGGGCACATCATTGCGGTGTCGTGTCAGCGCGTTGACACGATATCGACAGCTGTTGGAGCTCAAGCTTTGAGCACGGATTTCGCGTAACAAGTACGCGCCAGTTGCTGTGGCGCCATACACAGTGTCGTCGAGTCCTGTGACGCCATCTGCAAGTCGCCCAATAACGCTGCAGAAACACCGTCTTAAGATCAGGACCCCTCGATCTCAATTTCTCTCGTGAGAGGTCGCCTCAACCAACCCGAAACATTAACTCCAGGATTATATCGCAATTGTGCCTTCCGCCCACCACCTGCATGAATCAGTGCGTCTCCCACGGGTGTTGAAATGCAGCGCTCGCGGCATTTGGTTGATGCGCTGTCACACCTTCCACTCGGCCGCTAGCTCAAGCTTCACGCATCGCGCAAGCTCCCTCACACCGCGTCTTAGGCGATCGCGTCTGTGTCCTTTTCTCCAACAAAAACTTCTCGTTGTCCTGGCGACCCCTCCTGACATGTGAAGGCACAGAATTTGTCGGCGAATTGCTAGCCGAGCGATCACCGCCGTTTGACAGCGGTGAAGGCCATCGCGGGGTTCTGGCGGTGGAGCTTGACGTCACTTGCCCAAAATACCTCGAAGTTGACGAGCATGAACCTTGACGCTTCGTTGATGAGATATGAACAGCTCATTAAAGTTGATCCGTGAAGTTCTACAGAAGGCCGCCCAATCAATGCCCATTTGTAACGCCGTGGTCATGCTGTATCCAATGTTCTTAGGGACAGAAGAGAGAGGGAGTATCTACACATCAACAAAGGGGAAATGAACGCCAAAGCCACCCAGTTGCGCCAGATGCAAGAGTAAAGTATCAATACGCGGAGCCAGGCCAATCGCTGCTGTCAGACGAGCGCAAAAAGCTTCGAAGCAGGGTATGAGATCGATCGTTGATGATGATGAACTCTGGAGAAGATGCAGGAAAAGAACCGGCAACTCTCTCGAGCAGTCGCTGGTGCCGTTCGAGGCGACGCTGACGGTGCCGCTCACGACGCTGTTCGTGTCGCTCTCGCAGTCGCTGCCGGCCTGTGATAGAAGGGAGATCGTCAGCTCAGGAACACACGGTGATCGAGGTCTCACGACTGCGGACCAAACCAACCCCTGCGTATCCGATCGCCGAGTCCACCTGAAGCCGCATCGGTAGCTGTGGAGGTACCGGTTACTTGGTCGTCTGCAGATCCGCCCTCTGAGGGGGCAACGTATGGGTCTGACGAAGTGCCCGCACCAGACACGTTATCGAAAGCACCTGGCATCGACCGTGAGCCTGATGCCTGGGCTTCGGTAGAAGCTTGCGCACCTGACGTAGAGGCCTGAGCGTTTGCCCCGCCTTCTGGTTGTTTGGTGATGCCCTTTCGACAGTGTGGGCATGTGTCGTGCTCGATCAACCATGCAGAGACACATGGGTGATGGAACCAGTGCTTGCAAGGCAGTTCGGTGACCTCTTCTCCGATGTTAACTTCATCCATACAGATGCTGCACTCAGCGGTGTGCTCGGGGCCAAGCATATCTTCGGAGACCTTCTTCCTGGGCAGCGCGTCGATGTCGGCTTGTGTGGCGGGCGGAGGAGCGTTGCTCGTAGCTGTCTGTTCCATGAGCTGAGAGACAATGCGGTCGAGGCCCTCTTGCGAGTATACAAAATCACCCATTTGACCTCCTCCAGGTATAAGACCCAGCGATTGGAAGAGGTTCAAGAACGGGGCGGGTACGTTCTCGCCGCCTGGTCCACCGCGGCCGCTGCCGTCACCGCCCTGTGGCATGTTCTGAGCTCCAAGTGCTGCCATCAGACCAGTCATGACGCTGTCGGTCGTTAGTACATAAGCAAGTTTTGTTCCTTTGCACTCTCGCTTACTTCGAGATGTCATCGACAGGCTCGATACGCATGCCAGGGCCATCACCTCGTGGTGCTAGTCGCGCTCCACCATGGTATGTAAATCGCCCAGTGTGCGCCCCTGGTTGACCTTGCCCTTGTGCCTCTTGATGTGCCGACTGCCCAGCACCCGAAAATAGTCCTTCACCCTGTCCCTGAGGTCGACCTTGACCTGGCGCTTGTCCTTGTACAGCAGCCCGTGTTAAGCCGTTAAGCATAGACATGAAGCCACCAATAGAGCCAGGAGCATGAGCGGCACCAAGACCTTGCGGAGAGACCGACCGTGTTATGGTAGCCTGGACGTTGAATCTACCAGGTCCGACCCGCACGAAGTTGAAGTTGCTAATGTCTGCCTCCTCTGGGTCATCGTTCGCGAACGGGTTTTGGTGGGGGTTTAAGCGTAGTGGAGCATGCTCGAGGTCGTGCATGGAGTCGTCGTCTTGGTCGCCATCGTGGCCGAACATGTTGCTGTCCCGTGGGTCATTGTCGTCTTCGATCTACAGGGTGTAAGCGCATATCCGCTGTGTCCAGCCTAGTGATGTAGAGCTGAAGACGAGGTCTTGCGGTCAACTCACGATCTCTGTGAAGTCTGAACCGCACTCCGGACACGTGAGGCCGCGCTCGTCTCTGTACCATTCGTCGGCGCATTCGTGGCAAAACATCATATCGCGGTGTTCGGGCCTCTGACTCCCCGCCGATGTGGGCGCGTTCTGGTTTGCTGAGTGGTCCATGTCTGCGGTGTTCTGATTTGGTCGTGGCTGAGAAGAAGATGAGCTGCTACGTACACATTATCAGTGATCGAGACGGTGGCTAAAGAGGCTGTATACTCACGAGGAAATGTCAGGAGGACGTGAGCTATGCGCGGGCGAAAGCTCGGTGGTCCGCACCGAAGTAACCGGCTGGCCTGCTATGGCCGAACACAGCGGGCGCAATGTGAGTAGTTCAGTGTGTGTGTCAGTATAGTAGATAGTTCTAGGTCGCAGGTCGTGGAGAAGTTGCGAGGAAGACGCGACGCTGGCGGCGAAATGGAATTTCTGGTCGAATGCTGGCTCAGATCTAGAGTGACGTCGGTCACTGCCGTCCTGAAGACCTCTGGCGCAAGGGTCCCGCGAATCGGTACAGGCTTACGAGCAACGCCACCTGGGCACTTCAAAGCAGCTAAGGTATGGGAAACGTGTGGGATTATCGAAGCAAGGAGTGCTCCAGCTCTCTGGAATCGTCAAGGGATTGGTTATCGCATTCTGACTCTATGTTTGCTCGACCACTTTGGAACGGTTCTTCGCTGTTCCATCTGCTTCGATCAAACCACAACCACTGCTGCCAGCAGCGTGGGCTAGTAGACGAACAGTTCGTGCTGAAGACAAATCTGGGTGCTTGAGTATATGCAAACATCCTTCCTTTAGCTCAATAGGTATACAATCTCGGCCGCAAATGAACAGCTTCAGACTTCATGATATCCAAGTCCACCAACGCCTGTGCAACAGAACCAGTGCCACATATGTGTGCCCCCAGCCAAATCCAACCTGTCGAAGTACCACTCTTGTGAGAGCTCATCTTCTCCTTCCAGACTTCAACAAGAATGTACCCACCAACCCCGCAGCAACCGCAATACCACCCACAATCGCAGCGCCCACCAACCCCTCCTTCGCAACCTTCTCATCAATAAGTCCCTTCAAGCTCCCCGCCTGCAAATTCGCCGGCTCAAGCTCCAACAGCAGCTCATTATACCTCCTCGCCTCTGCATAGTTGCCTAATTTGTAGTTGCCCAGGGCGAGGTAGTAAAGGCATTCGCGACGGCGTTCGCGCGAGCCACGGAAGATCTCGGACAGCAGGCGCACGCCTTCTTGCTGGTCGGGGCGGTTGTTGGACTTGATCAGGCCCTGGGGTGACGTTAGCTGCTGTGCTGAGGATGGGGGCGGTGGGAATGTACCCAGGCGTAGTTGAACTTTGTCTGTAGACCGGCGTATTCGCCTTCTTTCTCGTATTGCGCGCGCAGGACTTGGAGTTCGTCGGGCTTCAGAGGCGACTCAACGTCGGCGGCATCTGTCGCGTGTTAGCACTTGTCCAGACAGCTATCGAATCTCCGGGTGACTTACAAGGTAGTGACGGCGACATGGCGATGTATTGTATCTGAGGTTGCACAGGTATAGCAGATGAAGTATGAGGATTAACGGCAGCGCACAGGTTCACTGCTGGGATTGTCTCGTGAAGACGGTCTGTGACGTACGCCTCGTGGCTCTGCTGGTGTGTGGCGGCAGCTGCAGCCGCGGTCCTCCCGTTGCCATGGGGCGCACGGCCACCACAACAACAAACCGAACCCCAACACCATCATCGCATCGCGACTTTACCAGAACATCCACCGCACGACGCACTGCGACCAAAGCACCGCAAAAGCACTCGAAATCAACTTTTGGTATCCACGCGACGCAGATCCAGCCATCAAAATGCTTCTCGACGAAGACCCCGCCGCCGTACGCCCGCCCCGCCTCCCCAAACACACCCTTCCAGGCAGCAAACTAACCCTCCCAGCTCATCTCACAATGCACATCACACTTCAAAATCGCCAACGACACGGCATCGCTCCTGCGCATATCCGACAGCCTCTCCACACTCTCCCAATTCCGCTCGCAGCACCTCTCCTCCCTGCAATCCTCGCTCGCGCAACTCTCACGGACACACCAAACACTTTCCGCGAACCACAACCACACGCTCTCGCAGCACAACCCAACGAACCACGCGGCCGAGATCTTGCGGCTGGATACAGAGAAGTTCAAGATTGCGAAGCAGGCAAGTGATTTGGAGATTGAGGGCGAGAGGTTGCAGCAGGAGCGTGAGAGGCTCGCTGGAGTCGCACAAGATCTGGAAGCAGAAGGCGTTGAAGGGGGTGAGAGGGAGAAGGCGGAGAGTGAGGATGCTACGATGTAAGTCCTCTTATCGCCGCTCGGCGCACTGCAATCAGTCTGAGCGCAGCGGACCCTCCGGCAGCGCGACACGACACTCTTTTACAGAAAATATACACTAACACATCCGCCAGTCTGAAGCTCAAACTCTACCGCACACTCGGCATCGACGTCGAAGCCGATGCAACAACAGGCCAGTACAACAAAGCAGTTGTCCGAAATGCAGCGAAGGGCGATGTACACGTTGTCAACATCGACCCCAAGTTCTCGCGGCACTTCTACACCAACTATTTCTGGAGGACCATGTAAGGCGTGCATGAGATATGGGTGGTTCGCGGGTTGGGCTCGATGCTGCATGCCGAATGTTTAGGTTTATTTAAGATACCTTTTGTTTAGCGGCGTTTGGGGGGGTTTGGTGGTACCATGACGCATATCAAATGACACACCCTTTGCAAACTTAACCCATCATTATGTTGCTGTAAAACTCCTCTGACGACAAACGTGATTGTCATCGAATCAACGTGACATCCAAAATATCAAAGAGAACAAGCATTGGACATGATCAGGGATGGCAACAACACCTTGTATTCTATTGACTACCAAGTACACTTGTAGTTCTGCTTGTTGTTGTCAACATTTTCTAGGTCTCTATTCCCCTTGAGCGTAAAAGCGCGCAACATGGTGCAGGCCGATTCACGCTCCATAGTATCCTACTGCCTACAGCCTTCAAGCCCCGTATCCTCCTTGACGAGCAAAGAAATCTACCTCTTGCTCTTCTTCTTGCTGGGCACAACCTTGAACGCGCCAGAATCAAGAGCAGGCTGCTGTTGCTGCTGCTGGGCGCTTGCGCCACCCTTCTTCGCGACCTCGGACCAGCCACTGCCTGCAGATTTGTTCTCAGCGGGGCTGGACGTGTTGCGGTCGTCAATGATGCCCTTGTCAGCGAGCTTGCGGCGGCGAAGGAACTCCTCGGCGAAGTGGCGTGAGTCGAGGGTGTTGCTAGCGGAGTGGACGGACTCAGTGATGAGCTCAGCGTCGGCGGGGAAGCTCAGGAGGGAAGAGACAAAGTCCTCGGCTATTGAACTGTTAGTACACAATTGATCAGTATGTATTTGGGGGGGACGTACCATTGATGCCCTTGTTGAGGTCAGAGCGAAGCTCGTTCACAGCCCACTTGCGGAACTCCTCTTCAGCGTTGGCCTTGCCCGAAGCGCCGCCGAGAGTAGTGGTGCGTGTGACAGTAGGCTTCTTAAGAATTGAAGGTACAACAGTTGAGCTAGTCGAGCGAACGGCGGCGGGTGCAGGGCTGGCAGCACCGCCTGGGGTCTTAACCTTGCCGCTTGCACCTACGGTGGTCCAGGGGCTGGCACCAGCAGCAAGAGCTGCGGCGGGGAGAACTGGAGTCTGCTTGCTGGCCAGATCCGCATAGCGCTTTCCAGCAGCGGTGACGGCAGCAGCAGCACCGAGAGTACTGGCTGCGACAGCAGCTTGAGCCGCTGCCCGGTTCTTGCGAGCTTCTTCCTCTTTCTGAATCTGCGAAAGAGTCTTCTTGGAGGCAGGAGTTGGCTGAGCGGGAGCCTTGCCAGCAGCAGGCTTGGCCCACACTGAGGCACCACCAGCAGGAGCCGGTGTGGCTGGAGAAGCACTGGCGCCACTCGCCCACGTGGAAGTGGAGGGCAAGCCGGGTTGGACAACAGGCGACTGTGTCTGAGCCAAGAGCTCCTTCTCAAAGGCTTCGCGGCGAGCAGCAGCAGCAAAGGCTTCACGCTCGGCAGCCTTCTTGGCCTCTGCTTCCTGGATCTCCCTCAGAGAAGGACCCCTCGAAGCTTCGGTAGGCTCCTTCGCCCATGGTGCGATGGATGCACTTGGGGTGTCAACCGCAGGTGTGGCAGCACGGGAATCTGCATGCAAGTCTCCGGGGACGATGGCCTTCCTCTGCGCAGCAGGTGCTGGGAGAGGAGACTGCGAGGGTGGCGGCGGGAATGGGTAAATGGTGGGCTCAACTGGCTTCCAAGCTGACTGAGGCTGAGGAGACTGCTTAGCAGACTGCGCCTTTTGGACTTGCTCAGTCAAAGAGAGTGGCTCCTGGGTGGCAGATGGCGCCTCAGCGCTTGGCTCGGGTGCTTGTTCTTGAGCGTCATCATGCTCGGGCGACGTAGGATCGGACTCCTGCTCCTGTGCCTGCGCAGCAGGGGCAGACGGCTTTCCAATCACACCTTCTGGTGGAGGAGCCACACGAGACTGGTCGAGGTCTGTCTGTACTTGCAAATCGTTGAACTGTTGCAGGCGATCGGCGGAAGCCTGGGCAGCCTGCTGATCGTTCAAGCCTAGCCTCTGCAGGGCGTCATGCTCAGCCTGCTCGCGCTGAAGTCGTGCTCGGTCACTGAGCATGGCAACAACGTTCTGGGCGTGTGACGCAGACTCTGGGTGCTGCAGGGCAAAAGATCCAGGTGCAGTGCCGAAAGCAGGCTGTCCACCACGGCCAAGGTTGAGACGGTCCATGAGGCCGGATACTTCATCATCCCGCATGTTACCCATCATGTCCATGCCAGGGCCAATGGGACCCAGGCCGGGGACCATACCAGGCCTGAAGGCATTCTCCATGAGACCAGGGACTGACGCGCCGGGCCCTGGTCCTTGAGTGGGAGATGGCTGGTAGCCTCCAGGCGAAGTGATGCTACCAAAGCTAGGCTGGCTATGCAGGCTGTGAGCACTAGAGTGATGTTGAAGCTGATTCGGCATGATGCCTCCCAACTGAGCTGATCGCAAGTTGACCGACTGTTGTGCTGCCAAGTGCTCCTTCTGTCTAGCCATGAGATACTGCTCCTCTTGCTTCCTGCGCTCAAGAGCATTCTGTTGCTCGGCAGTCAAGGTAGTACCAAAGCTGGGGAAGCTATTGGCAAACGGCGGCTGAGCGCCAGGTGTGGTGCCGGCACCGCCAGCCCAACTGTTGCCAGGCTGAGCTGTGGCTGGTCCATGGGGTATACCGATTTGAGGGACCAGGAATGGTTCGCGAGAGTTGCCAATGCGGCGGATGAGCTGAGCGAGTGGTTCGTAATCTGGCTCCTCCTGCTTCTTGACCAGAAGTTCAGGAGAGAAGAACCCAGCCTTGTACCAATCGTGCATCTCCAGTCCAGAGAATGGGCCCTGCGTGTTGCCTGACGGGTCGCGATAAATCCACCTCATGCGATCAGGCATAACCATAGTACGCTGCTGGGGCTGAGGAGGCTGGCTAGAAGCTGGGCTTCCGAGACCGGGGGTGGAAGGTTGTGCTGTCCTGGTCTGGTTGAGCGCAGCCATAGACAACGACGTTGTTGCCAGGCTGGATTGAGCACCGGAAGTCTGTCCAAAGGCACCTTGGTCGTCACCACCTGCTCCTGAGAAATCGTCGAACAGATTGCGGTTTGCACGGAAAGGCGAGTCGGTGTCGCGGTTGGGGATGCCGCTGCCGGGAGCTTGTGCGCCGAATCTGCCGAATGCTCCAGTCATGCTTTGTTGACGGTCGTTGTGCGAGGAGCCATCGTCGCCATGTTGTTCGTTTGAGCGCATCTGTTCCTGCATCGAGGCTGGAAACAGGGACCCCAACTTGCTGGCACGACCGATCGAACCATGGCCGAGGCCTGATGCTCCTCCAAACAATGAGCTGTTGCCGAGCCCAGCGAGCGATGGCGACTGAACTTCGCCTACATTTCCGAAAGCACTATCGAATCCGAATGGACGCTCTCGAGAGGGAGTGCCCAATGCTTGCGGGCCTGCGGACCAAGCCGAAGAGCCTCCCAAACCAGGTAGACCTCCAAGCCCGGGCAGAGTAGGGAATCCGCGCCCAGGTCCAACACTCGAAGTCTGGCTCCGGTCTCCAGCAGCAGCCTCAAACGCTCCGGGAGTTCTTCCAAGACCTCCAAGGCCGCCAAAGGCGTTGTGCAAGCCTGACATGCTAGAGTCCACCTGGAAACTGCCCATACCCGGATAATGCGTGTTGGGAACATCGGATCCGTCAGAATCTTCCTCTTGTTCCTCGCGGGCGTGATCAGGGCTCCTGTAAGGGTTGGTGTCCGTAGGGCTCATGGGATCATTGCCTCTTTCTCCTCCTCCGCCTCCTCCGCGGTGAGGTGTCTGCTGACTGAAGTTGCCGAACATGTCACGGAAGCCAGTGTTGTCAGTTGTCATGCCAAAAGAAGCCAGGCCACCATCGTCGCGTCCCTCAGGTCGGTGTGGCGTGCCAAAGCCTCCTAAACCGTGCCTGGGAGGGCTTACATCCTCGCCTCGTAGTGCTGCCGAGCCTGTGGGATGGTCGTCCTCCAGATATGGATCGGTATCGCTGCTCATGGGCCGGTTGGAACGTGCCTCCATCCAAGACGCGCTTGGCTTCGAAGGTTCTGCTTCGCTGAGCTTGCCAAGATTACCAAGTGATGCCTTCTCTTTCGGAGCCTTCTCGAGTTCCTCAGTGCTGGCTTTGCCCATCAGTCCCTTGAACCTGCTTTCACCTCTCACGCTTCCTAGTCCAGACTTCTTTTCAGATTGCGGGACACCGAAGCTGCCAAATGCGCCCATGGGACCCGAAAATCCACCACCTTGCGAAGCAGCCCATGGCGAAGTGCTACCTGGACTGAATGGTGCAGTGGCCGTGCGTTTCAGATTACCAAAGGATCCAGCGTTCTCAGCAGCTCCCTTCTCTTTCTCGCTTTCCTCACCAATGGCCGGCTCTTTGTAGTCTGTTCTGCGGCGTATCAGAGACGGCGGTGGAATAACGGTGTTGGACTCTTCACGCGCAAATCGAGAGGTTGCAGGCGATGCAGGGAAGGGATACGCCTCGCCAGTGTCGCGGCGACGGTTGCCAGGTCGAGTAGTCGTTGGTGATGACAGACCATACGGCGTGCCGGGTGTTTGCGAAATTGAAGTCTTGCGCAAAGACAGGCCTTCCTTAGAAGTGCCATCCTTGTTGGTGTTCTGCGTCGGTGGTTTGAGCGGCGAGTTGACAGAAGACAGAAAGATCTAAGCCAGCGGTAAGCATGAAAAGACGTCGCAGACTGCAAGAAGGGTGCGCTGTACCTCTCTCTCATCCTCTGTAAGTTCTGTCAGATGCAGGGGCTGTATGCTGCCGTCCTTGTCCCAGCACTGGTCAACCCCGCTCTGAGCCTCCCTTCCATGGTCGTCCTTGCGCCCCCACGAAACGCCCGAGGCACCGTTTGTGGCGTGAGGTTCCCAAGAGCCCATGTACAGATGCGAAAGACCTTCTTTGATATCGTTGGAATCTCGCTGGGACTGGAAGAGCTGCACTAGTTGATCTCGCGAATAGCGGCCCTCGACAGAACCTCCATTGCGCCCCGGTTGCGCATGTGGCGGTACGTAGACTCCAGAATTTGTCGAGAGTGCAGGGGCAGGCGCATCTCGGGAGGCGGGAAGGAGCGCAGATCCAGAGGGCGTGGTCGCGTGTGAGGGCCGGCGAAATGTTTGCGTCGCACCATTAGTGCGTCGAGCCCTAGTGTTGGCATCAGTATGCGGTTGACCGTATGCAAAGCAGCCCATGGTGGTAGCGAATGAAGCGGTGGGCGACGGTAGCTTGATATGAATATTTGTAGCGACTTGAGACAATGCCGTAGAGCTGTGTAGCTAGAATATGCTGTATGGTTGTTTGGTGCAAAATGCAAGAGGGGATGCACTTACCACTCGCCGCTTGAATCTGTGCGTGCAGAGCCAGCGTTACTTCCTGCAGCTGCTGAAGCGAAAGAAGCAGGTGCCATTGTGGTAGTGCAGGGTTGTAGAAGGTACGATGGTGTCGAGGCCTTTGAGTTTTGTGGTGGTGGAGTGCGGCAAACTGATTGGGGACAGTTGCAAAAGTTCGAAGATGATGTCAGGCTGCAAGCTGATTCGGGCTGAGAGGGCGAGGGGAGTGGCACTCGAGGGTAGTGGTACAGGCGAATGGGAGCGGTAGTCGTAGGATGGCGACAGACGAGAGGATACCTGTGCCTGCAGCGAGAAACAGCCGAGTAGAGCGCTCTTGGCGTTTTTCACACTAAATTTTGATGACGCCCAGCCTCCGCAACGCCGAACGACGCGTCTCACGCGACGCAAAAGAGTCGAAGACTTTGTCAAGTGAACGCCACTTCTCCGCCCAATGCTGCTTTCTTCACTCCCACAACCCCTGGCATATTTCGGTGTGTGTGTGCGTGTGTGTGTGTGTGTGTGTGTGTGTGTGTGCAGTCACGACCCTGACACTTCGCTTGCTCGTGACGACCCAGAGAATGATGCTCGGGCACCTGCAGCACTCGATAAAACGTATCCAAAATTGATGCCGTGCAGCACCTTACATCGCTCTTTGACGCGTCTTCACTCCTGCTGATGCTGGATCGATGAACTTATCCTCAACGACGGTCGATTCATCTTTCGCAGCATTTCCTCGATCTATTCCTTCTATCTTCTTTACCAAATCACCACACGTAGGACGTTAAACCAATCAATCAATTACTAAATCACCACCTGTGTCGTTACCAAAGCACAACGATGGGACTCCAACGTTTGTGGCGTTGTAGCTACTAAACAGTACGACCTACACGTGATCTGGAGACACAGACACAGCATCTTTCGAGCCTTGTGAACAGCGTCGCTACTTTCAATCTCGACTGTCAGCTGTCTGATCCCAATCACTGACTGGACCAGCTTGGGCCATTCCAGAAAGCCGGATCTTCTGTTGGGCGGGCTAGCTAAGGCATGCATCACCAGCGTAGGTTTGTTTGCTCGAGATGCTGACAAGCTTGGGTTTGTTTGCTATACTGGTGGCGCCGTGCAATATGTACGCTATGGCTCAGCGCCAATCATCTTGCAACTTTGCGTCGACCAAGCACGTCGGCCTATCGAGCCCCTTCGTGTCAGCACTGCCTCGTTACTATACGTTACACTTTTGGAAGATCTCTCTCCAGTCGGATACAGTCATGGGATGCACCGACGAAAGACGAAACCTGCAGGCAACGCAGGCCAGACGAACGTCCTATATAGGACGTCTAGGGGCCAGGTCAATGTTGGATTCTTTCTCAAATCTCCACTCCCTCGGCAGATCACCACGGTTCTGACTGTTGGTTACTTCACTAGTTTGCCTTCATTCAACATCATTGCCACCGATCACTGCACGCTCGACTGTACCTCTCGGTGTAGCAAATTCCCGTCACCGGTCATTTTGCTGTACTGAACGGTAACTTCGGTCCTCTACAGTGCTTTTCATCAGAATTCCTCACTGAAGGTCACACATGCATTGACCTTTTTGACAAACGACATACACAACCATGTATCGCTGTCGCCACGATCAAGAGGAGGATCCATACGCAAGTGGGAACGAAAACCGCCGGCGAAATCGCGACCGACTGAACGAAGATATCGAAAGATACAACTACCTCAGACGACTCAGTAGAGGAGGATCTGGACCGCCGTTCGGCGGGCCACTAGGCATGCCAGGCGGTATGTATGGACTTGGACCATCAGGACCACCTCCTTTTGGCCTGGGATCGGGTGGGCCTGGCTTCGGGCCAGCTTTGAGCAATTTCTGTGGACCTCCCGGACCTCCCAGGCCTCCTGGGTTTCCAGGGATGTTTGGTCCTCTACTCTACCCCCCACCTTCTTACGACGACTCCGATTCAGACGATGATGAGTCTCCCTCACCATGGTATCCTCCGCCACCGCCACCATGGTATGGAGCCAGCCCGTTGTCTACGCGGAGGCTTCCTCCGCGATCTCTGTACGGCAGACGCTATGGCCGAGGGTTTGGCGGTCCTTATGGGAGGTACTACATGGATCATTATGATAATCACGACTATGGTTATATGCCTAGACCCATCTTCCCATGTAGAGGTGGGGAATATTGAGAAGGAACGGGCAACTCAACCAACTAGGGATGTTTACTGCCATCTCACGACTCTTTAGCAAAAGCCGACTATGGCATCTCGTTATAAATCTCCACTCCGTGCGCTTATGAAATTCAATCGCATAATGAGACTTTCTCAATAGTTGACTTCTTCGCCACGCAAACACACATCGCTTGCTCCTAGTCCATACTGTGAACCTGAACGGGTGTGACTGCCCTGTCAAACCCGCGATAGCCCGAACACTGTGCAAAACAGCGCACGACTTCAACGGCCACCAATCGACTCTTCTGTTTCCGTTTTCTACAAAGCACACGACAAACATCAACTCTCTACCCACCCGTTTACGATACTCGGAACCTGAGCCGTTTCCCCAGACAAGCTTTACGTCTACCACCACTTACTGGACAGTACGTGTCGTACATGCACATGTCGCACGAACACCTACGGCCGAAGACGTTGATTGCATCGGACGCAATATCCGGCCTCACGCAGAACTGCGGCTAGAAAGCTATGAAAGGGGGGAAATGACAATAAAACATATCAAGAACATTACACGGTACTCTTTCTTGATATAACCACAGCATAACCGACATTCTCCTTGCATTCACCTGCACCCCAACTGCCATGTGTCTACTCATCCACTACACCTACACCTGCGCCCACCCTTCCGAAACTTTATACAAGCCCTGCCGCTTCCTGTCTGATTCGTCATCGAATCTTTCTCACCGCAGGACTGGTCTCACCCAGCCTGAGGCAACTGTATTGGCGAACTCTTTCGAGCCCCCCGAAGAGGAATCAAGCTCGGAGTTAGATGATATACGGCCGATGAAGGGAGTGTCAGTGTGTCCGCGTCTCTGGATGAAAAACATCGAGTCGCCAGTGTGTGTTGGATGTATGGGTAGAGGTGGGAAGGGAAGGAGGCGGTGGTTCTAGTCAAAGAACGAATCACAGGTCGTTGTCAGAGTGGGAGTGGGCTCGTTGCTTGAGTCTATGCAAGGTGCAATGTGCAGTGATCAACCTTCCGATCAACCTCAGCAAGTCCCCAGAAGCGGCCAGCCAAAGTCTTTGTCGCTCTCTCCTACACTCACATCTGCATAACGTTCTGTCTCGAACACTCGTCGCTCGACTCTGATTCCCCTTTTTACAACGCCGCCTTGTCTTCGCCCCATCCTGGTTCTACATTTATACCGTTGCTCCTTCGCCCATTTCCGCCACGGCGTCCTGTGCACACAAGACGGCTTTATAGCTTCTTGGTATTCGTGATGCAGGTGTAGCTGCAGTTGTTGTTTCGTCACTGCTTTCAACGAGTGCAGTAACGACAGCGGTACAACTACCGGTCCCTCCTTTGGTAGCTTGTCAAGTGCATTTTTTATGCCAGCCGTCTATGCATCCGCGATACTTCATCTACTCGGTGGTATCCCTTGACGTGGGGAGGATAGGGTGACCAGTGCAGGTCCACCTGAATACCTCCATCGAAAAACGCGTTTGCGATTGTCAGCACCTTCCCAACGATCTCCCCACCAAACTTTCCTTCGAACTGATTTTTCTTCAAAGCATGCAGAACACGCTGACCATCCGTAAAAACCACCGTTTGATCAAGATACTCGGTCAACCTCCCTGCACAATTCAAAGCTTGCCCCACAGCGACCGACTCGGTGTCAGCAGGGGTGATCAGATGGCTAATGGTGACTTGTTCTTGCCAGTCGCGTGTCTCTGAGTCGATGTAGCGGATTACCGCCGTACCTGGGTCGTTGAGTGAGTTGTTGCATGCAGAGCTGTGAATCCAGAATACCAGTGTGCCGGGTGTGAATCCATCGTTGAAAATCCTGTGGGCGAACTTTCGTGCTGTTGGTTTGGGGGCCACAGTGATATTGTTAGGGAAGGGGTGCAGCATCTCGAGATTGGATGGATCTTTGGTAAATGCTGGAAGCATATTACGGAATCTGTCGACAGGTAGCGTGCGCTTTTGCATTCGATGGAAAGTTTGAGTGAGATGAGTGTATCAACTGAGATGATCAGCTTAAGTGGTTCAGCGAATATTCAGCGACTGCGTCTATAATATGACTGTTTATTTCCTGTTTCGTTGTGGGGTTTAATTGTATTCTCAGAATGCTTGAGTCCCCATGCGTTGACACTCCTCGATCCAAGCAGCGATCCGGCCTTTCTGTGTACCCCTTTGCGATTCCTTGGCAGTAACGGCATCGAAGTTCTCGAAGCCATGGGCAGTCGGGCCGTAGAAAATGCGTTGTCTGAGATTCTCGGTCCTTGTCTCTACCGATGCGCGAAAGAGCTGGTTGTTCTGAACAGCAAATTCGTTTGGTCCACTGCGTCGACCGAGAGTTTGACGTGATCGACCAGTCGACCGATGAAGAGCAGGTCATTTGAGCTGCTGTGAATACCGTGATACCCGTGGGTGTTTTGCTGAACGGCAAGCTCGTTTGAGCTACTGATACGAACGCATCCTTCAGTTATCATGTAGAGACATGTCTCAACGAAGTAATATTGCGGCGTAGGCCGCTGTAGAATACTGATAGCTACAGTAAACGATAACGTAGGACTATTGGGTTGATGGAATACTGCGCTGAAGTGCTATCTAGTTGAGAGATGACGACTATATACCTGACCTCAGGCCAGTGACCGGTCACACACTAGACTAGGGTAGTCTGTCAGGGGTACAGTCAGACCTTGTACGGACCGACCGATACCGCAACAAGTAAGCTTGAATGACGCGCGAGCTGAACGGAGTTGGAGCATCAGATGGTTGTGTGAGTAAGTTTTTGCGGGACCGCAGCAATAGCAAGACGTATTTGTAGGCATCCTCCTTCGAAGTAAACGATGTGGTGTTGGAATTGCCGCTCTCGCCCATCAAGTGCTTGAAGGATTGGGTCTTAAGATTTACATGCTGGAACCCTTCAATATGGTGCAAGAAGGGACCGATATGAGGATAACAATCAGGGAAGTTCATTGGCAGTTTGCGTTAAATACAACAAAAGATGCAGTACAGGTTCGGGAATTGGGATCACAAGTACTGAGGTGAAATGTTGTGGTGGGTGGTATGTTGGGAGTAATGTGGCGAAAGATCAGAGATGGTTAAGGACAATGGGACAAGGTAGGTTTATTTACCATTGACGTCACGCTATTAAGAGGAAGTAGCGACAACAACTGCAGGTAGTCACTCCTACATTTGCCCTATAGTGACTTTCACAAGTTGGTGGCCATCCTCAATCTAGAAACCATGATGTCATCTACCCACGAAGTTGTTCTTTAGGCCAAAAAGCTATATCTCATCATCGTTTCAATCATCAAGGGGGTCAGCAACTTGTGAAGGTCACCGATATCTGGAACAGCGACACGCGGTGGGGGCAGAGAAGATACTTAAGTAGTTTGCATAAAATGGACAAGTAGTTGCAGTTGTTCTTGTTGTAGATAAAATTGGGCCTGTACATGCAGCCACGCACTGCTTGTTGATGACGAAACATCAGGAACGACCGAACAACAGGCACAACTGTAGCAGCAGTGCTTGCAGCAGGCAGTCATACTGAGAGAACGGCTGTAAGCCTGTCACGTGGCGCAAGAGCAGCAACACGTATCAATGGGAACAATTGAGAAGCATTGTGTGATGATTCTGTCTATCTGAACTACGAATGTGTGAAGGAAAGTGATCGCTGTGAAGGAACTAGGCCTAGTTGGGCTAGCGTACAGATCTAAACCATCCATAGGGCTGAGGGAACGTTCCCTGGGTACTGACAACACGCAACTGAGGCAGACACAGGAGATAGAAGAGTATAAGTGAATGTAAAACAGTCAAAAGAGGTAGGTGAAGGAAGGATGCCTGGTCACCAGAGCCATATCAACAGGGTAATCTGGTTGGTGCCTTGTTGCTTGTGGCACGGACCGTGGCGTGCAGGCAGTAGGCAGCGAGAGTGTAAGCCGGCCTTGTATGCGGCGCAGTTAGCATGCATATCCAAATGCGTCGCGAAATGGTGTGTAGATCGTGGACTGGTGCTCACGCATGAGTGAAAGCGGGCAAGGTTCGAAAGTTCAAGATTGCATTAAGTGTACGGTACCGCCATTATTGTAAGGAAAGGGGAATCTCAGTAGATAGGAAATGAAACAACGCTAAACTCCACTCGCGGTCAAAAAGAGTGCCACTCGCCGGGGTATGTAGATGGGGTTAAAGTATGCACGTCGAACAGAAAATGCGTGACTCTATCAACAAAACCCGAAACGCGAGCTCCAACTGCCACACGAGCAGCAAGAGCCTGAATTCATGAAGAGAACCACCGAACGCCTCTATGATGCAATTCTTGTCCCCAGCCTGCTGCGCAGCCGTCATGGAAGTGGATGCCTGCCGGTATCACATGGCTGGATGTTCGTACGTCGTGACCGTATGGATGCATAAGAGCCTGATAAGAGATAATGCGAAGAAAGAATTAAGCCTCGAAACGCCGTCTTCCGGGGTATCGTGTATGATGCTGTCCTGGCCCTGACCGTAGATGGTAGGAGAAAGGGTCCCGCCTTAAACTCCGTATAGTTGTTCGAAATCGAAGTGAGGAATTTGGAATCCAAGCGTAGCCGTTGAGAGACGAGGATTTCGGTGTAGGATATTTGCGCGTCGCACAAGGCAGTGCCGATGTGAAGTGGTGGTGTGCAGAAACCCAAATGCGGTTAGTGCGTAGCAGTGCGCATGATCGATGAGTGGATCAGCCGACGCGCATGCCCACCTACTACTCACCGCTATGATGGTAACATCAAGTGTACTGTACCAGGTTCTCCACCTTCATCTTCTCACACCCTCGTCGTACGGTGTCCATATTGCTGGTAGGCGGCGTCTGCCGACATCTGGCTGATATCGGGTGCGCCGTCTGATCGAAGTGCTTGCGAAGCAGACGGTACACCGGCTACCGCGGGGTTGCTGAGGTACCCGTACTCCCAGGATCCCCGTCCTCCTTGTGTCAGGGTCGATGGGTAATGCGACATCTGATGAGCTCCTGCTCCCCACTGAGTCATGCTCTGTACTGAGGGTGTCCTCTGCGGGGTAGGCATGCCATGCACAGATGATCCCTCAAGGCCTGCTGACATCTTGAAGGTAGGCGATAAGCTCGTGGATGTCATACTAGGTGTGTAGGTAGCTGAGGCCATCGACGCAGACCCCGATCGCGGCGAGGTCCGATGCATACTCCCAGACGCATATGCAAGGCCACTCGAAGCGTAGGACGGTGTCGAAACGATAGGGAGTGATCCTGCGCCAGCCGTTGAGGCGTAGCTGGCGGACTACGGAGTGTCAGTTCCATGCCATGCTTAGTCGCAGGACAACTTACATATTTGCTGATGATCTTCTTCAACGCGTGAGAAAGTATCTTCCAGGCGAAAACCTTGACATCCTTCTCGATGTTGCGCGGCTTGGGCGTAGGAAAGCCCATGATGACTTTAAAGAACTCCTCGCTGTCCACTTTCGCTTTAGATACCGTGAGCGGCCGAAACCCTTCCAAATTTCGACGAATGCGGTTCTTCTCTTCGACAGTAAAGCGCACATTCACCAGCTGTTCGAGGAGGTATATCGTATCCACGCTAGTGATATAGTACTCATCCTTCTCTTCCCACCAGATACAACTCACACAGATGCTTCTTGTTGGACGAGCTTCGGGCGTGATGGGCGTGAACGTTGTTGTGATCGTACTGCCATGTTGTGATCGTTCGAATTGTACAAGTCGTCGTTTCGCATCAATCTCCTCCTGCGACCATTCTTCGGCCATCTTATCCAGGTCGCCTTCAATCTTCAAAATCGCCTTTGTCTGGTACATGGAGTATGGGTTGAATGGTTGACCACTCGAAGCGCCCCCACTTGGTGCGATCGATGTTGCTCGGACCAGAACAGGAGCTGGAAGAGTGGACGGTGACGGCAGAACCGATAGGCCTGACGTTGTCACAGCCATCGAACCAGGACTGCGACTCGGCTGTGCAAGAGAACTGTAGTGACTGTAGGGTTGCAGCCCAGGGGACATCTGTGGGGGCTTCAAGTCGTTTTGGCTCATGCTTGGAACTGCATACAGACCTTTCTGCGATAGTTGAGAGGAGTAAGTGCTGCTTCTGCTCATGTCGTAAGCTCCAGCCTGACCAAAACCACTGGAGAGTGAGGACTGCGCCGGCAAGGGTGACAGTTGTGCTGTTGAGTAGGCTCCAGACATCGAGCGCGGCTTTGCTTGAATGCGGTGTGTGTTTTGACGCTTTGCAGCTATCGTGTCGAAACCTTCCTCGTCCGCAAAATCCGTGGAGTACTTGCGCTTCTTGGAAAAGTCGGAAGCGGACTGATACGCAAGGTTGGGAGACATGTCCGTGTAAGTAAATCTGCCAGCGTCTGCTTGATGGCGCAAATGACCATCCTTCTCCATCTGTAGTTTCAGCATCATAGTAGGATCCCATGTGTTAGTTAACGGGAAGGGTGGGACCTCCACGCTGAGAACATAGTTGTACCAGTCATCGTCGTAGTCCACCTTTTGCAGGCCTGTAACGCATGCCTTCTTGCCAAACATAAGGATGAAGGCGTACTGCTCTGCAGCGAGATCGTAATTCGTTCGGAGTTGTAAACTGACGGTAGATCCAGCGGTGCCTTGCGTAGGCGTAACGAAGCCCGTTATTTCCGTTTCAGTGCTTGTGTGAGAAGCGGGATGACGAGGTCTTGCATCGATAAATGAGGTAGCAGGTAGAAGATCGCCAGAGCCGCGTGACTCGTATGCCGAGCTAGGTATATAAGGCAGATCTGCGTTCGAGTGCCCATGAACTAGACGCGTGGGTGCATCCGTATATGGAGAGGCGAACGATGGCTGTGCAATACCGGGGTAGCTTGAAACCTGATTCGATCGTGTGGCTTCGGCGTCTGGAGGGGTGCGCGGTCAGTAAACCTTGCTAATAGTTCTCACGTGGCACCCAAAAGAGTCCATCCGACCACAACTGTAGCAGCTGCCACACAAAACCATCAGATGAGCGAAAGGCCACTCACCATACACATATTGCTGGCTCTTGCCGTAGTCGGACATGGACGAGATACTCGTGCCTATGGCAGAATGAATACCCGGAAGGCTACTTCTGAAGCCTTCCCTATACTGGGCCATATATGGCTCAGTTTCCGATGCGACGCCTTTCAAGAAGGGCGCACCAAAGCTATCAGACTATTCCATCAAGAGTTAGCGATTTGTTCGTTACGGGCCAAGTCGAAGGCAGCAGTAGAGAGACGCCAGGCTGAGTGACGAAGGCAATTAGGCAGTATGCAAGAAGGGTTAGGAGCCGTACCTGATAGCTAGGCTGGATGGTGCAGGCCAGCTTGACGGCCTCCTAGAACTTCTAGGAGAAGATGCGAGTGTTCTTCTTGTGGTTCTTGGTGCCGCGGTGATCTGCACCAGGGTGTTCGTCAAAGTCTGGGGATGCAAGACGAAGTGTGACCACCAATGAAGAAACAATGTAGGCCTGCAACAGAATATTGCGACGTGTCGCCTGGTCGGTTCGTACTCGTAATGACAGGAGTGAGATTCGAAGACACTGGAAGTGGGCCTTGTGACCAGCGATATTGACGGAAGAAGGATACCCAGAGACAGAGGACCAAGATGTTTGGAAGGTCGATTCATCCGGGAATCAGGGGAACTTTGAATATCGGTGTCCTACACAATAAGTGCTGTTCTAGCCGGAGCCTGGATCATAACAGAACGTGTCGCAAAAGGGAAAGAGAAGCGTTGTGCTGGTAGCAGGAAAGACTTGATCCAGAGCAAACGCCAGGTCCTGAAATGACAGTGAGTTCCTGAGCATCAAATGTAGCATGTCACGACCCGCATTTCGATGTGACAGCCGTTGTGACTTACATAGCAGACAAAGAGCTCGAGACAAAGCCGTGTGATGGCCGATGTGGTACAGGCTAGGCAGCCTTACCGTACGGGAAGGCAGACAAACACTTGGGTTATGAAGCTTTGGTAGTGGAGTAGGCGAATGTTAATAGCGGATAGGTGCAGTAAATGTGAGAGAGGGATTACGACGCAACCCAAACCAACGGTAAGGAGTGAGATTGGCCAGTGTAGTAGATGCAAGAGAGGCGGTAATGCAAGGACGAGCATGCACAGTGGGCTCTGGGGGTTCGGGATGGCTCTTGGTGATTACCGGACCCGCCAGCGTGGTAGCCTAGTCGACCAGCAAGTGCTGAAGCACGCCCCTCAAACTGCTTGAACTCCTACCGTTGAGCACTACGTAGTGCAAGTTCTGGCAAGCGTGAACAGCCGAATTAGGATACAGCGAGTAGATGGAGCTAGCTGTTAAAATGGTGCTTTGTTGCGGGCTCTGGCACACTGAAAGGTGCCCAGGGATGGCGCAGTGCTGCAAGCTGAGCAATAAGCTGAGATTGAAGGTGACGTGAGTGGCCGATATAGTCAGACAGCTGTGGCTGCGAGCGATGTGTAGGCAAGATAGCTCCAGAATGCAGGCTCAAACGCAAGGAAGCTATGAGCCCAGGATCGTCTGAAGGTGGATGGTTCCTGAGTCGTGCAGTGGGATTCTAAGACCTCTGCAATGGAAAGAAGCGCGGATGCGGATGACCGGGGCCGGTGCGTCGAAACACAATCCGTGAGGCGTTAACTGTGGAGAGAATCGTAATTGGGAAGGAAATGCAAACGGGCGCTGAGATGGCGAACAGCTGCGCAGTGCAGGAGAGGGAGGTTTGACCAAGGTTGAACGGTGTGGTAGCGAGGTTTGACGTCGTTGTGTGAGCTGAACATGGAGGTACCGCGATTGCGCAGCGCGGCAGAAGCCCCCATAATGATATACATAACGAGCCAGCTTAGACAGCACCTCAGCAGCGTTTACACGCCTCTACCAACGACATCCGTCAGGGTCGCCGTGAGCCTCCAGCCAGGCGGGAGTGCACGGTCAGTCGGGCACTGAGTGGCCGACGAGATGACGGAAAATGGGCTGCTCATGGAAGTCAATGCACGGCACTCGTGCGCAGCGCCCCATCAGGGCGCCGTGGTAATGGCAGCGCGATGCAAAGGGAGGCATCAGATGGAGTGTGGTGAGCAATGAGATGGGCTTGGGCGGGACAAGCGAGCGATCGGGGCTGCTATTCCTGGAGTGGCTTGCAGCTAACCTTAATCCGTATCCCTGTCGCCTTCTGCGCATCGCCCAAAAGCCACGCCCACCAGCCTCTATCCAGGCACAGCGCAGCGTCCGCGACCGCTACGATGACGATGGCAACACGCCAGCAAAGGGAGCCGTGTCTGTCCTACGTGGGCGCGTTTCGGTTTCCTTGAGAGGCGACTATGCCATGGCATGAACTCTCCCCTGCTCAGCACGCTCTTTTCCTTGCTCGCGCATCGCGCCTGCCACTTATAGATGGATGTTTGTATGTAACAGCCACATCGACATGGACGTGAAAGAAGCAATGACGGCTTGCCGGCAGGCGCGATGGGGGATGAGGCTGTCTCGTACGGCGGGGACGGCGCTCCCCCAAGTTGCCCGCTGCCGTTCACTTCAACCCCACTCTCCAGTGAGCACGCTCCCAAAAGCGAAGCACTCCGAACGGCTACGTCCCTTGCACTCTCAGGCAGTTCATTCTCAGCAAAATGATCGAAATAGGTGGCAATGGTATTCTTAGAACGCTGATGCCGTATCACTCAGGGCTCTTACCCCGAATGGGAGCGTTGGCGGTTTGCCTGCGGCTGTGTTGCTCAAAGTCAGCCGCCCCACTCTCCAGAAGCAGAGCAATTAGCACCTTAGCGCTCTTGCGCAATCCACCATAATTCCCTCTCAAGCGGAGCAGAGCCGGTATAACATCATCACGTTCTAATCCTTGCACTGTGGACCAGAGCAAAAGCAATAGCCCGCCCGATGATGTGGGCGCCATGGACCGTTCATCTACCATACGAATGAGGCTATGCAGCCCTGCCTCATGGTGTACAAGGGAATGGGGTACTCGCCGTATGGTATCAACCTCCGCATCCAATAAATCGACGGGACCCTCAGCGTTTGCGGACCATCCCTAGTCTTGACAATCGTTCTTCCATGGTCGCCTCTCGCTACGACTTGTTCTTCACATCACGTCCCGATTGTGATCTCATTCATCCTCGCGGTCGCCGAGCAAACGCTGCAGAAGCCTTGGATTGTTCGCAAATATGGAGCTCCATTGAAGGACTTACTCCAACTTTCGCAGCACCATCACAATGCAGGATGTCGCCGCTGGAGTGGTACCACTTTCGACTTGACGCTTCTCTTAGTGGCATACCGCTCTCTCCTACGCTTGTTCGAAACGAGATGCGAGCTGTCGTGACTACCCAAATTGGTTTGCCATACACATTGCGCGGAAGCCTGACATGCCTGTGGTTCACGTTGAAGCACGGTTATTCACTTTTCTGATTTTGCTGGTGCCTCGCTCTCCATACGACTATTGAACAAACTGACGCTATGGAAAAGTCTTTGGTCTTCTCCGGGGGCTTGTTCATTGCCGGGGTTCAAAATGTACAAGGGACCCGCGCCATGCAGTCGGGCCATCATCACCAGCATCTGAAACGTGCCTGGCGGACACCGACTGCGCACAAACAGTTGAACCTCTGCAAGTACCCGTCAATCCTTCCATTAAAAGGCTATTGAGGCTGTCGGCCGTTGGTTGACATAATAACACCAGAACGGGTCCTTTCGTTGTTGCCCTTCAGTCGCAGTGCCAGCAGTGCCAGCAGATCATCTGTGCGACCTCCACCGGCAGCATTGGTGCTTGCCATCACTTTGAGGCGCCGTGAGTGTTGATCTTGGTTCCACAAAACAAATGCGGTTCCTTTTGATTGTTACATCTACTACACCTAAACAGGTTTTGTCTGCTTCAGCTCATCCACCAGACAACTCTACCACTCTACCTACCCCGACCTCGGCCAACACCACTTGAACTCGCAATGCCGAGCATACAATATGTACCATTCGTTTGCAAGCGCCGGAGACAATCTACATGTGCTCCCCTTCCTAGGATACTATCGGTCGCTGCACCTAGCTACATTGACTCGTAAGGCTCCCCGTGGATCTGGTTCCTCCGACTGAATATCTGCAAGCTTCCATAACCCCACGGTGACTTCGCAGATCTGAAGTCCCACCAAGCTGGGTGCGATTGGTCCTCGTCATCGCACATTCCAAGCTCGGTTGAGGCCGAGATAGTCGTGGCGGATGTCGGCTTGCCACTAGTCCCTCACAACCCGGTTGCTGGGTGCTTCGTGCAGTTCGTGCTACCACCTCTCACGTAGCCCCGTAACACGCAAGGGCTGGATTCCAGTTACCCGGGACGAGGTTGTTCAATGAGCCGGAGAGGCCGTTGTGGGGAAAAGGATCGTTCTATGATCATGCAGCTACACGGGTGACCTGCATGCGCAGAGTCAGTATCCGAATCATTGGCAAGATCGCTGCTTCACGCCCGAAGAACTACGCTGACCGATAAGGCAGATCGTGACACAGTGCAAAGCTCGGCCTCAAGTTACGTGCTTCTCCCACCAGCTCATCGCCTCCCTCAATGCTCAACGCGTGTCGGTACAAGACACTTATTTCCTAATGACCGAAGTGCAACACCAACAGCGGTTCTGTTTCACACAACGCTCCGTGACCCTCGAGGAACGGCTATCATCGAGTGCAGAACCTCCTTGCATCCGGCTGAAGTCGGCATGTGATGCCTCTGGTATCACAGTACAACGCATCTCTCTTCGCGACTGCACGTGATCAGTGCTACATCTGGTAACTACAAGCATTCCTACGTAAGCCATTGACAGCGTCGAAGATGCCGAACGAGTACAGAACACAATCTTCAGCAAACTTTCGATTGATGAGCGGAAGAGCGGGGTCGGCGTGTTCGAGCGAAGAATGCAAGTCCAATTGATGTGGAAAGAGTGGTCGAGAACTGAATGCTGGTCATACGACCCAGGGTTATATCTATAGCCATCAACGCATCAATCAAACGGAAGGCATTGACGCCACCAGATCAAGCTCGACGCCAGGAATTCAGCTGAACTTGACAACGAAGCAACTCCGGATAATGCACTGACCATACCAAGTCCATCTGTGATGAAGACAACTGATATCTGCGATTGTGACGCCTCATAAGTCCATGCTAATCCTGTACAGCATGGGTGATCATTGAGCGTGTTGGAAGCAGACAATGCATCCAGAATAATCGGACATTTTCATCCAGCGCACAAAAGCAACTGACGGCGACACGATTCTGATCTTGGGAACCTCATATGTTCATCTCTTGAACGAACAAGCCGTGTCTGAGACGTACATTATCTCTCATCCGGCATGTAGTGGCCTTTAGATTCAGGCACTGACGGAGACAGATCTGGACGCAGTACTGCTGTGAGTTGCGGTACAAAGTCCTGTCATCGCCAGACCATTGGACCCGAGTAATCTGTCTCGTGTCGATGCGATCCAAGAAACTTCGACAGATGCAAGGTCTTACAGCATACTCTCTTCAGAATTCCGAATACCATCAGGCCCTTTTGACAAGACTCCAGTGATGCTATTGCAAAACTCCACCACACCCGTATGAAAACTGGCAGATGCGCACACCTATATGAGATGGCTTGGACACCAGCACGGACGAACATTGCGATCGTAACTTTGGCGTCTGCAGTTCTAGAGCTTCGAGCAAGGCCCTAGGATACAATGATAATTGCAGACGTTCACATCTACGGTCTTGCTTTTTGCAGCATGGGCTGGAGGTCTTCGCAAGGGTATACAGACTACGTAGATACCTGAACCCAGAATCTTGGTAGACAACCGAGGATGTTGAGGCCATTTTCAAGAGCAAACGTTAGTGTTCGCGTCACTTACTCCGTCCTTACACGAACTGTCACGTTGTTCTGCTTAACGTTAGGTATATGACACACTGCTACTTAGCGCCTCCCCAGAAGTTCCCTGTGGAGAAAGATGGCAGCAACTTTGACCATGATGTGGACAAGATTACTTTCTCACGTTTGAATCATCACTTGGCTCGCTAAGAGTAACGCACCAACAACTACTCTAGATGTCCTACGACAATATCTGCTCTCCTACCTGACCATCCCTGAGATCTCGCACCAGAACGCTTACATATCCCTGCAACGTGAGTACCTGCACACACTGCTAGATCCGTACCTCATCGTCTACACCTCGACCGCTCGATCAGACTCTCTCAATTTGTTCAGTATGTATGCCGAAATCTTCATCAAACCGCAAAAAGTGTATCCCGCTTGCGTTTGGGAAAGAGCGAGGGGAAAGTGTCGGATAGTTCCCGCTTCGTAGTTGTTCAAGGGAAGAATGTGAGCAGAAATCGTAGTGTATTAGTAGCTACCGATGTGGTGTTTATCTACACAGAAGGGAGCTATGGAGGCTAGCCAGAAACGGGAAGGCGCGGAGCCTGAGAAGAAGAGCTGCAGTGAAAGTGCTGGCTGACAATAGTATTGGAGAAAAGTTGGTTGGAATTGTTAAGGTGTTGTTTTTGTTGGACTTGCTTGATCAGTATGCATTCCCCAAACTTCAAGTCGATATACCGTTCTGGAAGGCCATGGGTGTCTTTGCGGTGCGACGAGTGTGCTCTTGTCGTGCCGTGGTACGGGTGGAGACTACGAAGTATCCAAAGCCTCGTGGGCGCAACTCACGCTCATGCATGTTCACCTACCAATGTCCCAGGCTCAAAGAATGCCGTCACTCATCCTTGGGCATCTTTTCTGTTCGCTTCAATGTATATGCTTGGACCTGTTCCGTCTACCCCAAAGACAGTATCATGCGCCTCACACGCCTATCGTTCAGATTTACCTTCCAATCTCTTTGCCCTTCGGAAGTGGAGAAGTTAGAAAGTGTGTGCGTGAGGAAGCTAGCCAAACACACGCTTGACCCCGGATCTCAAGATCTGGGTCGGGTAGTGGCATGGGGATCGAGCTTGGAACTGACGCGAGGATGACATCATGAATGTGAGCAGGGCAAAAGTGCAGTGAGTGCAATACTATCCATTTAAGCTCACTGTATATACATAGATACTAATGCTAACGACAGATTTCCCTAGACGCCATGTTATGCACAGATTATTTCCCCGTTACTCTAAACGCCAATACATCCAAATGATCAATGCCCTTCTCCCCTCTCCCCCTAACTACTCCCCAAAATCCGCTCATAAGCATCCTCCACCTCCCTCGCCACCTCAAGCAGCGTCACAATAACAATCTGATGCGTCACATTCGGCAACCGATCTCTATGCAACCCAATCCACTCCAGCGGCGGCGTCGCCTCGCCCATATCCCTCAGCTGCGGTGTCTCGATGACCGGCGGCTCGAGCGGCGTGTACTCGTATCTGGACTGCGGGACGTTTACCACGGCGGTAATTTTCTCCTGCTCCGAGTCCGGGTTGTCTGGGTTCGGGGAGGTCGAGACGCTGAGGGCGCGGGGGCGGTTGGGTGCTGCGTTTGCAGTCGTATTAGCTGCAGTGGAGATGGAGGGTACGCCTTCTGTGGACGGCACTTCGAGGGTTTGACTCGTGCTGATCTTGATGCTGGATTCTGGGAGCGGTTTGCCGAGGCGGCTGGCGAGGGTGCGCGAGTGGTTCGACCACATCTGCCGGATGTAGCTGATGCGCGAGTAGTTCCATCCGACGTCCACTTTGCCCTCCAGACTGCTCTTAAAGACATAGTCGATGTGGTTGTTCTTTGGGACCTGCCAGGTGTGCATTGTGGCTATGACTTTGGGCACTCGTAAGATTGTGCCGCCGCGGGCTGATCGGGCGGATTCGACAACGTCTTCGACGGTGAGATCGGCGACGGGCTTGCTCTTTTTGGGGGTTGGGATGGGAGATAGGGCGACGGACAACTGTCCCAGGGTCATTCCGAGGCTGGAGTGGATTTTGGAGGTTTCCAGGGCTACGGCGAAGCGCGCTTGCATGTCACCAGCTTCGAGCATGAGTACCACGTTGTCGAGGAAGGTACCAGGGTAGACTCCCAAGTTGACAGAGCGAAGGGTGACAACTACATCTGTGTGAAGGGAAATCGGCGCTTTGAAGGCATCGTCGTCTTCGGGCTTGGGGGTGATCATGCTTTGAGAAGGCGAGCGGCCGAAGGATTGCGACACCGAGGATTTGCGTCTGAGGTACTTCTCAATGTCTTTCAGTGATTGCAGGTATGCTTGTTGGTTCTCTTGTACCAGTCGCTCGATAGCCTGGTAGAGAGCAAGGCCCTGTGCCGCGCTTGTGGCATGGCAGAAGACATGCACCTTGTCACCATCCAGGATCGCAACAAGGCGGTCTTGGCCCGCTCCTTCATTGTCGCGGACGTTGTACATGAGGAACTCGAAGTTGGCAATGTCCGCTACGGCAAAAGCCTGGTAGTCGAAGCCTGACTTGACGCGTAGTTGATGAAAGGCAACCGATGCTTGGATTAGTGGTGTCGAACGCTCGTCCGGTGCTCGTTCGGGCCATCTAATGGATGTTCGCACTTTTACCCCAGCCAGCTCGACAAAGCCGCTCGTTCGACCTGTGCTCTCCAGACGAACCTTTTCAACACCGACGCACAAGTTTTGCTCCCAATCAGTGCCCTTTGTTGACGAAGCCCACATGTTGTGTATGTGAAGCGAGGACTTGCCAATGGCCTGACCAAGATCGAGGTCGACCTTGACGTCTGCCATCGCCACGTTGGCATTCCATGGGAAGGCTGTTGCAGCGGTGACTTGTTGATAGCGCTGCATCAAATACTCTTGTGGCTCGGGGTTCGGATCGACGTTCGCGTCCGCCGGCTGTGATGACTGCCTGATCTCCGGTGGAATCCAAATCTCTCTAAAAAGCAGGAAGTCTTGCAATTGTCGAGCGTTGATCTGCAACGCCGTAGGGTTGATTTTGAGAATGGCGGAGATACCACTAGTGCCGCTCAAGTGCTTGCTGTTCATTAAAGACAGAACAATCGAGTCCACATCGAGACCAAAGGTCGATTCACGTGAGTACACATGCTGAACAGTGGCATTGAGCTTTGTGAACGCGGCAGATGCGGCGAAGAAATGCCCATGTTCCTGCGATTTGACACTGTTGACAGTGACGTAGATGTCTTCAAGCTTCGCGATCGCTGCAACGCGCGCAATTGGCTGGCAGCTGAGGCTAAACTCTTGCTTGCAAATCCTGAGACCAAGGTTGAGGCTCGTGCGTCCCAGGAGTGCCGATGGGTCGGCGTTGATGATGTTGTTATTGTTGTTGTTGTTGTTGTTGTTGTTGTTGTTGTTGTTGTTGTTGTTGTCCTCATCAAGCAACTTTGCGGTGGGTTTGGCTTGTGGCTCTGGCTTCTCCACTTGCGGTGATCCGGGGGGATCTCCATTGTCCTTGTCACGAACAACAGCCTTGATGCTGTCCGATATGTCGATGATGATGGGGACCACAGTCGGCAGCAGAGTGTTGCTAGATCCATCAATGCGAAGCTCAGCGTTCAGTGATGGGTCCTGGCCTTCATCCCGATACTCCACTCGTAGAGCGATTCCAGGTGCTCGAAGAGCCAGACTGCTCTTCGAGCCATCGCCAACGAACTGGCTATATCTTCCCTTTTGTTGCGGTCGATGCGACGCTCCCTCTGCTGATGGGCCTTCTCGGCCATTGATGTGTACCACAGCCCCCGCAAAGTTCGCGTCCACCGTCAACGACGATAGTCGTTTGTTGCCGAACGGGTTCTTTCGTTGTGCCCCGGATGTAGTTGGTGTCACACGCCAGTTCGCGGAAGCCTTGCGGAACTTAGTGCCTGCAAGCGCAATTGATCGTTCGATGACGTTTGCGGGAAGGATGAAGTGGGAGTCGAGTTGAAGGTCGAGAGCTTTACCGGCAGCATGGAAGGCAAGCTTTCGCGTCTCCTTCGTAGAAGCATAGGCTACGTTGAACTGCATCTCCGGCAGCAACGCTGAATTAAGTGAACGACCCTTCTTGTCGGCTGAGACCGGTACCATTTGCAGCTGCATATCCTCGATCATCAAGCGCGCTGCATCATCCTTTTGCGTGGAAAGCTTGATCCTCCTGAAGGATAGGACAAGATCTTCAGTCTCAGTATTGGCGAAAGGTGCCATCGAAGTGCCGACAACCCAGGTAGCTTGCAGGTCGAGCAGCTCCATAGAGTATGTCGAAGTGAACAAGGCACCCGAGTCAATGCTGTCGTTATCAGTATCCGTACGGCTCTTGACACTTTTTGCGCGTTTGCTCGAAAGCTTGCTCTTGGTGTGACGCAATCGTCTGAGGTATTTCTTCTCCTTGGATAGGTCGAGGTCCTTGATTTTGTCTTGCAGATGGTTCATGACGTCCACTACAGCTGATGCAGTGTCCGCAAACACGTTGAGCTCGAGCCCAGAGCTACGGACACGATACAACCTTCGCTGAGGATTGGAGTCCGGTTCGGTCGTGGCTTGGAAGATTGCGCTGAAGGTGAGGTTGCCACAGCGACGAACAGACTCAGAATGTGTCAGCGTCATATCAACGGTCACTTCGTGAATTCGAATAATCGCCTCTGGGAAGAGCATTGCTTTATCGACCGAATCGATATTCGTAGCCTTCAGTTGAACGGAGGACAGCCGGAATGCGAGATTCGCAGTCGGTGAGCTCGAATCTTTGGCGGGTGCGATGGCCACTACATTCATCCCGGAGAATGTCATCTGTACTCCGAAGAGAACTTGCTTCGAGGAGGTAGGTGGCTTGGTCACACCGTCTTCATCGTTTGATGGGAAGATCTCTTCTATGTGGGTCTTGAGGACCTCCACATCGTCTTTGACAGCATGTACCATCTGTGCAATCTCTGGTTTGTTCAGTGTTGTTGCCAGTGCCTGTATCTCAGACGCCTGTATCTGGATGGTTTCAATGATGCCGGAAGCCATGATGCGTGTCTCTTGGTCCGTTTGCGAAACGTTCAGTCGACCGTTGACAGCAGGCAGTTGCAAAGAGCTGATAACATGGGACCCCTCGTCGGACGTGTTGTAGAGCCTGTGGTGACTGGCGTCAAGGTCATAGTCAACGCGGAGGGTGACGTTCTTTCCAAGGGTTGGGACTACTGCAATACGTCCTGACTTGCCCGATATGGACCAACCTAGAGGATGGAGGAGCGCAAGCTCGACCTGATAGGCGTCCATGAACAACGCCAGTGTGATGTTGGGAAGTTGGGCATCTTTGACCTTGTTGACCTGTGGTTGCGTCTGGGTTTTCTTCTGTTTGGTGATAGCCTGTATCGCTTTGGACTGGTGCTGAAAGTACGCGACTTCGTCCCTTAACACAGAGTCGACCACCTCAACAAAGCCTAGAACATCTTCTTGGACCTTGATGATGATCATTTGACTGGCGGCTGCAGCCTTGATCTCGTCAGGGATGTTACTGCCCTTTTCGTGCTCAACAAGAGCAAAGTAAAGGCTCGGCTGCTCAAATTGTGCCTTAGCGAGTAACCGAGAACGAGAGAATATCTCGCCTACAGCCAGCTCCAGGTGAATATGTGCGCTTAAGGTTTCCCCAAAGTCGGAAGCCTTCTTGTCCGCATCGATGAACGAGAACCGCAAGCGTCGTCCAGACAGTACGCTACGAAGGTTCATCGTTTCAAGGATGATCTGCGATCTATCTGTGACGAAGACGACCTGAACATCTTGGTGATGTGCAAGCTTTTTGTTTTGCTTTGGCGTAGATGTCTTGGCCAGTGTGGTCGTTGTTGGTGCAGCATCTTCCTTAAGAAAGAGGTTTGTAAGCGCTTCTGCCAGCTCGCACATCTCCCAACGGATGTGGAACAAGGTTTCTCTCGAGCTGACTTGCACGGTGGAACACTTTGTGGGTTTCTCGGCAGGCACCACGCCAAGTGCATCTGGTTCTCTTAAGGGAGGCAAGAGTGCAACGTTGATTGCTAGGATGACCAGTTCGACTTCGCTCTGCTTTGGACCAGGATCAACAATCAGCTTCACCCCACCAGATTTCATGTCAAGGTACAGTGGTGCCGATTCGGGGGTTGGTAAGCTGTCTGTAAGGTGACCGAAAAGCATCTTCATAGCAAGACTCTTCTCGACGTGTGCCAGATCCCATGTTCGCCACTGATCCCACATCACTATGATCTTCTCTTCGGCGTCTTCTGGGCAGCCTACGGTACTCTGGGCGCACTTCTTGGTCAAATCGTTCTTCTCATATGAAGGCAGGCATTGCCAAGTGTAGCGGAATCGCGATATGATCTTCCACGAGTCATGGCTGCGCAGATGACCTCTGGCCGCACGCAAAGCGTAGGATGCTTTCGTCAAGAAGGCTGGATCAGCGTATTGGTCTTGAACGCTCGTCAAATACCATGCCAGATAACGCAGCCTATTCTCTTGTCGCTCATCCGCATGAATGAAGTCGAGTGCTAGTTCCTCAGCCAGTATTGTAGTTCGATGGGCCAGTGTGGCAAGGTACTCAAGCTTCTTGCTTGCTGCAGCGGTTTCGAACGATCGGAATGAGATGTTGACAGAGCTCACCTTGTTCTGTAGGGACCAGACAAGAACGTCTCGCAGTTCAGCTTGCACCGCGACGCCTTCGCTTGGCCCCTGGAGAGCACGCTCGGTGACTGAGAGGCCCAACGAACCCAACGTAGTGTGCAAAGCCAACGAGTCCTCACCAGCTCGCTCTCCAGGGAACTTCTTGATGCGCGCAGCTAGTTCGAGGCTGTTTGCGATGACATCGTACTGATCCTTGCCAGCCGCGGAGGATGGCGTCGAACTGAAGCCGTGCTGGAAGCGGGTGTGTGCAAAGGGTACACGAACATTGAACTCTAGTGAGCTTCCAATGCCTTCGAGTCGCGTCCTGTTATTTAAAATTTTGGTCATGACCTTGACCTGAAAGTCATCGAGTAGGTCTTCAGGGCGCTGAGGCTGGATCATCTGAACCAGGTTCGAGATGCATTTAACAAAGGCTGGGGTGCAGTAGATTCGGATACCTGGCTCCGCGCTGATGAGAAGACTGGTATGTGCGAATGTTTCGTCCAGATGCCCCGTAGACACGTCGTTGAAGATCAGGGCGTCGTCTCGCCTGTTCCGCGAAGGTGGCGGTAATTCTGGTATGGTAGGAACGTCGGACAGGTCGGGATCCACCTGATCCAACGGGAAGTATGGAGGAGCCAGGGAACTAGAGAGGGCAACAGAAGAAGGAGCGAGGTTGCGTCTTGCTCGTTCGTGCTCTTCCTGGGACGTGTACAATCGACCTTTGCTTTCCGCACGATTCGAAGAGCCGCCAGGTAGAGTCCGAGTCCTACTGGATTCTGCGGTCTTGGTGGTGTGCTTGTGTCTTAAGGTGGATCGAATGCTACCGGCGAGCGAGCCATTCGACACTGACCGTAACGAGTTCGTGCCCGATCGTCGATCTCTCGGCAATGACTCGTTTGTCAGTGAGGCTGTCGACCTCAAAGATGTTGTCTCGTTTGTGCGCGATCTATAGAACAGTATCGGCTGTGGTATGTCCGGAAATTGCATCGCTGGTGGGCGCACATTGTTCTGCGCAGTCGCTGGTTGGTGGAATGTATCATCAAACTCGTGTTTGAACATGAAGTTGGCGCGATTAGTGCGTTGGTCGTGTTCACGCATGTGCGCCTGCTGCTTGTCGCGGTCTGCCGTGAAGTCCAGTTTCCTCTTCAGCATGTTCAAGGACAGTGTGGTCTGAAAGAAAGCATGCGTTTCGACAACCTGCTTCTCACCGGCGCGCGCTCGGTGACGTGATGCTGATCGAGCGTCAACAGCACCAATGGTCAACTCTGGCACACAAGCCGAGAGGCGCTGAGAGAACGTTGTGCCTGCAAGGTCGTTGAAGTCCAAGGTGATGGCGCTGGTCTTAACCAACAAGGCTTCTGGTGCAGTGTGTAACCAAACATGGACGTCTTGTGTTCTCAATCTAAGCAGCGTAGCGTCATGAATGACTGGGATCTCGGTGAGAGGCAACGAATTCTCATCGTCATCAAGAGCAAACGCGAAAGAACGCGCTGCCCCAGCAGCAGTCTCGATAAAGGCCGAAGTACATTCTCCAGAGATCTTGCCTACGTCGAAGTCCCAATTACAGATGTAAGTAGGTTCGGTAGGTGGGAGACCGAACAAACGATGGCCGAAAATGACTATAGAATCAATGAAAAGCTCCGTCTGTCCACTTGAAGATCCGTGAAGCAGTTCTGGGCTAGATTCTGGGCTAGCGGGTGGTTCTGACAGCGAGATGCTGATCGGGCTGAAGTTGACCATCATATCCATGTAGTAGTTGGTGAAGCGAAGGTCCGCCGAAGCGTATGGCAAATCAGCTCGTACACTGCGCTCAGCCGAGTAGAGATTGGCAGGTACAAGGACACTGGCATCGTCCACTGAGATGCAAAGAATGACATCGAGATCGTTGGAGATCTTGACAGGCTGACTGTCAGCCCCTGCCCCGTCTTTTGAGAGGGTGGTGCTCGGAAGACCCTGAAACTCCTCTAAAGTTTTGAAGTGCATGTCATCGCCGAAATAGTTGTCTTTGATCTTCATGAAGTGGTGAATCAGCCAGCCGTATAGTTCCAAGGTCAGTGTGTGCCCTTGTATGTCCAGGTACAGCCTGTCGGTGTTCATTGGGTCTGTTGTGGTGACGTATGTGTGGGATCCAGTCAGGGTCAGCCCCCCCAGTTTAGCCACTTTGGGAGACTTGAGGAATGTCTGGAGCGTGTTCTTCGACGGCATGAGAACCTCTAAGCTCATGTCTTCGCCACGAACATCGAACTGTATTCCGTTGTGTAGTGGCCGGAACTTGTCCAACGGTATGGTTACATCTCCGCGCAGATGCTGACCAGACAGTATGACAAAGTTGTTGTCATCAAGGTCGGCCGGGTTGTTGACAATGTTGGAGTCGTTGGTGTTCATGTACAGTTTGAAGTTGTTGAACTCGACGTGAAGAAGGTAACGGAAGGGCACGAAGAGGAAGTAGTCGGGCGGTGGACCAGCACCCCAATCAGCAACTAGGTCCGTCAAGAGGAACAGATGATCCCGGAGCAAGAAAAGCTCAAGGTCTTGGCATTTGATGTTGAACATCCATGTTCGCAGTGTATTCCAGGCGAGGGGGGCTGACAGGTCGCAGTCGAGCGCGATAGATCCAGACCGCCATAGCAAGCCATGATTGACGCTGGAAGAGATCTCCGTGCTCTTGATCGACACATCCAGCTTGTTCCCAAAGCCTTGGCTGGAGGCAACCATATCCATGATGTAGTGGACGGAAGAGTTGCCAGCAACCTTGACGTCAATCCATGCAAATGGACGAACATTTTGCGCCGCAGTAGTGTCCCTTTGTTTGCCTCGGCGTTTTCGGGATTTTGCCTTGCCCTTGACCTTGTCGTTCGCTGACTTCTCGTGCGCTGCCAATGTATGAGCTTTGCCCTTCCATTTCCAGTCCTTTGAGGGCTCCCGAACCGGTATGCGCAGCACAGTATCTTCTCCAATGAACAGAAACAACTTGAATATAGACAGCGCACGGGGGTCTCCTGGCTTCAGCGGACTGGCAGGCACAGCATCGACACGCGCTCCAGGAAAGAAGATGTTCTGGAAGATGCCTCTGTGTCGATCCGCCCAAGGTCCGTAGTTGATGACTCCACCAAAAACCTCAATGTCCATACCGTAGTCTGGGGGGATGCTACCATTGATGTCGTGCGGGCGATCCTGGTCAACGAACATGGTGTTGTCCATTTCGGCGGGTACGGGACCTGTCACGTCCCAGTAGAAGCTGACGTTCACGCAGGGAATATCGGCGATGAGTGAGGTTTTGGCATATTCGATTCCGTCCCATTCGCCGTGGCCGTCGTTCTGACTATCATCCAGGTACCGCGCTAGCCCCTTCCACCTCTCCTGGCCTGGGAAATGCCACTGAGGAGTGAAGTATTTGCTGTTCTTGACGCCAGACTTTGAATGCGTGTGTACTGAATCCGACGACTTGGAGAAGAGAGCAGAGAAAACAGGGATCTTCTTCGACCATGGCTTCCGTCGCTTGTGTGCCATGTCCTTCGCGATGAAGCTCTCTTCCGAGATGCCCTTGTCAGACTCTTGTTTGTGCTGCGCGGCCGAGTCGAGTTGGGCAGACTTGTAGTCTGGATTGGGCTTCATGTGGATGACTGGGTGCGTAACCTGGAAGGAGAACAGCTGCTGATACACGTCGAGGGGACCACTGGACGACGCATCGAGGGTGCCGGCGGCTTTCTCGAACTGTGCCGTGATCACAGCCAGCGTGTTCTCGTTGCCCACGACGATAGCACCTTTGGTGATGTCCACATGGACGGGCAGGATCTTGAGGAAAGCGGGCAGGTTGTCTTTTTTCGGCCTGGAGGTAGTCGAGTCGCTCGTTTCGACGCGCAGAGCGTTCGCTTCCTTGTCCGGAGGCTCTTTCCTCAGCTTGTTGTGAAAGGGCTCGTCGCGAAAGGGCTCGTCGTGCAAGGGCTCGTCGCCGTGCGACATATCCTCTGGTTGCGACACGGAGCCGCTGCGCGGACCATCGGCCGTAGAAGGGGGCCGATTGGTCGTCTGCTCCGCGTCCGTACGGGCTTTGCGTTCGAAGGCTTCGATGATTCCGTCGTATGCAGGACTGCGGTTGTACATGAAGGCCTCGACGCCAGAAACCTTGACCGAGATGCGACACGGCAGCTGCTTGGGCGTCTGCTTGCCTCCCTTCTCCGCCCTGTCCACGTTCCTGCTTCGGCTGGTCGACGGCGTGCGCGGCGTGCGCGATGTGCTTGGCGCGTGGTTGCTGCTGCCGCTGGAGTCGGCGGCAGCAGGAGCGTCATCGTCGGCGGCAGGAGCGTCATCGTCGGCGTATACTGCAGCATCTCTCACCCGCCGCAGCCAGTAGTTCCAGGTGATGTAGCCACCGTGCACCAGTATCGTCTCGTTGTGGCCGTGGTATCGTATGCTCTTGAAGAAGATGCGACCGCCGAGCGGGGAGATCTGCAGGCCAGTGATGTCGATATAAGCGTGGAAGGCATGCCAGGTGTAGGCGCGTATGGCGTAGGATATGAGGGTTGCGAACAGCCGGTTGAAGTAGAAGAAGAAGAAGACGGTCAGGATGCCGCAGATGAGCAGCTCAACAAGGAACACCCTGGGTTGTCAGTCCAATCGCCAGGAGACCACACCTCTCGCGAGCTCACCAATTGAACCCGTCGCGCGGGTTCAGCGGCTCCGCGACGATTCCCCCGGCCATGGTTGCAGCGCGGTGTGGAGAGACGGCGGCCGTTCATCATGGTGCAGCGGCGTGCATGGTGGTGTCGTGTGGGGGGGGGGGGGGGGGAGGGGGGGACGGCGCACTGGGTGAGCTTGAGCTGGCGGAAGCTGCCAGTGCTCGCAGTGCCTGTTCAGTGCTGGACGGGGCCGCGAAGAAGCTCTCTGCTGGTAGAGCTGCGGCGTGCAGCGCGCCGTTGAAAGTCGCGTTGGCTGCAGCTCTCACTAACGTCGACGGCTCGCGCAGGGTTCACCGCGGGACCGTCATGGTCGGCCGGCGGAGAGCTAACCAGGGCCGTCCACACAGTCTGGGCGGCCCTTCGACGCATGAAGAAGGCGCCCGCACGACCACTGCACAACGCCTGGAGCTTGTGAACAGCCGCACGTCATGGCCGTCTGCTACCGCTGAGAGAGCCTGCTGCACACCTCTAGAGGGCCAGTCTTTGCCCGCAACCGCCACCACACACCGTCTCCACCATGGCTGTAGGCACCCTTCATCCTGTGCACACGGCCGCCGAAGGAGGCACTGGCCAGAGGCTCGGCCACGCCGTCATTATCGTTGCCGGCGTGTGTGCTCTCGTGTCCAGTCTCGTCACTTTCGTGTGAGTAGCATGGCTTGTCGTGCTTGGTCTTCCCACTGACGTAGCTCAGAGCTGTCTGGTTACAGACGTAAGTATCCCGCTCTGCATGCATCTGCAGTCTCTGAGACCCATGGCAGGAAGAACTACCGAAAGCCGCTGCTTCAGCGTTATGTCGTGCGCATCCTCCTCATGTAGGTGTCGCCTCTCAACGCTCCTGCCTCCACTCACATGGCGCAGGGTGCCCATCTACGCGGCCGCGTCGTGGGGCAGTCTGATGTCTGTCCAGGCAGCGTCTTGGATCGACCCCCTCCGCGACATCTACGAAGCCTTCACCATCTATACTTTCCTGCAGCTCCTCATCAACTTTATCGGCGGCGAGCGCGCCCTCATCATCCTCATGACGGGCAGGGCGCCCGTCGCCCACCCGTGGCCCATGAGCCTCGTCCTCCCCAAGCTCGACATCTCCGACCCCCACACCTTCCTCGCCGTGAAGCGCGGCATCCTTCAGTACACTTGGGTGAAGCCGCTGCTCGCACTCGCTGGCATCATCATGAAGGCAACCGGCGTCTACAAAGAGGGCTACATCGGCGCTACCTCGGGCTACTTCTGGGAGAGCATCATCTACAACATCAGCATCACAGTCTGTCTGTACGCTCTCGCCATGTTCTGGGTGTGCATGACAGAAGACCTGAAGCCTTTCCGGCCCATGCCCAAGTTCTTGTGCATCAAGGGTATCATTTTTGCGTCCTACTGGCAGGGCCTCTTTCTCTCCATCCTCGTGTGGTTGGGCGCAATCCCCGATGACGTACCAGGCTACAGCGTTGACAACCTCGCCGCCGCCATCCAGGACGCCCTCATCTGTTTCGAGATGCCAGTCTTTGCCCTGGCCCATTGGTACGCTTTCTCGTGGCACGACTACGCCGACAACACCATCTCCGCTGCCCGCCTGCCCGTCAAGTATGCCTTGCGCGACGCTTTCGGCGCCCTGGATCTCATCCAAGACACCAAAGAGACCTTCGCCGGTAACAAATACGAATACCGCCACTTCGATGCTCGAGACAACGTCCTCGCTCACGAAGAGTCGTCATCGCGTGCTGCGCGTATGAAGGAGGGCATGAGGTACGAGAGGAACGGCAAGGGCAAGTACTGGATACCGAAGCCAGGTCAGTCATCCGAGCATGAACCGCTGTTGAACAAGGTATCCCACGGTCGAGCCAGGGCGATGAGTCCAGGGCCCCATCGTGCCCTTGAGGGCGGGAAGTACGGCACTCCAGACGAAGTCGATGAGCCGATGCTCGAGCCCGAAGACGAAAGGCTGTTCGACAACGCGCGCGCGTTGGAGTTCGGCGACTGGAATGTAGGTTGTAGACTCTTCTGCGAAGACACCATGCTGACACAGCCGCAGTACCCAGTCATCGAAGCACATCGCGCCAGGCGCGAGGACCGCTTCACAACGGAGCCTCCTATTCTCACCGCTTCAACGAACCGAAACTACCTCCAGCCGACCGCTGATAACAAGCGAAGACGCAAGAGCCAGATCAAGAAGATCCAAGACGAATCGGGCAAGCATGACAAGGGCAAGCATGGCAAGGGCAAGCATGGCAAGGGCGAGCAGGGGAGCGACTCATCCAGCAATGGAGAGTCATCGAAGCCCAAATCACGAGCTCCCTTGGTTGGCAATCTCCTGCGTCAAAAATCATCGTCCTCTTCCTCCGCAAAGTCCGACAGGAGCCAACTCGTCGATCTCGTTGTCGAAGACCATGATGCAGAGGAAGTCGACCGCGTCCGCGCCCGCAAGGAAGGCGGACCCGCCTGGAACGAGGTCAAGAACAAGCACTTCGTACACACCTACCCGCAAGAGGGCCAATCCGAAGAAGTGCGCGAAGGCTTCGAGCCTGACGTCCCCGAAGCACACAACCCAGAGCGTGTGCACAACCTCGATTACCCCTTCAGAGTGGGCGATGACGAAGACGAGGAAGCTAAGAAGGACTTCAAGCCGCCTGTCAACGAAGAGGCGGAGCGCTGGGATACACGCGACTACAGCGACAACGAGGATGCTCAAGAGGCTACGAAGGAGCCTCAAGACGACCGGCCAAGTCCGAACTACGGTAGCTTTAGAGAGGAGCGAAATGTCTGGAACCAGGACTGATGGCCAATGTCATTGTACGACGCAATGGGCACCGTCTCTCCCCTGGAGCAGTTTGCATGTACGCTGCGTTCGCTACTTGCGGATGTGGAGCAGTTATATACCCTATCTTGGTACATATTGGAGTTACTGTAGCTTCTGCTGTTGATATTACTGGTGCGTTGTAGCGATCCAATTGCGATTGCATGGACTATTGCAGCCATTGCACGCCAACACATGCTGTACTTTACGTAGTTAGGCTTCACGAGCAACTGCTCTGTGGTGCGGGCGATCTTTGTTGTCGATTTTGGCTCAATCAGAGATGCTGTTGTAGAGTTGTGGTTTTTCGAGTGTATTGGACTGCGTATGGTGACGGTACACGTGGCTACCACGTTAGTCTCAACCACAAGATATGTTCATGCTCCCCACTGAGATACGGCGAGTTCCTCACAAATACCCGCAGTCAAATATCCTCACCCTCCCAACTCCCCTGTCCGATATGGCTTTAAAGTGCACGCGGCTCCAAATTGCTGCACTGAACAGCTGGGTCACTGTTGACTCTTTGGACCTCAGACGTCGCAACAACGCTCACACGCTTTCACAAGGAAGCAAACTTCCTCGCCCAAGCCATGATGTCTTCATGCTTCTCACTAAACTAGTATCTAACTACATCGACGACGCTACCGGCGTCTGAAAAGGGGGTATATCCATCGAAGTGAAGAGAAAAAAAAAACTCGGGGCATCCGCTCCTGCTCTTCCCCGGGCAGGAGCGGAGGGTATATGTCCCAGACTTGTGAAAAGAATCCTCCTTCCTTGCAAAACCGTTCCTTGCGTGTATGTGCCAGCACAGATCCCACACATTCTCCTAGAACGCTACACCAACCATGTTCATATTCGGGCTGGGCGGGAAACGGCGTCCACTGTGCAGACCTACGTCTTTCGCAAACATCTCCTGCCCAGGTAGGATGTTGTACGATGGAGACACAGGCGGCCACATCTCTCGCATGCCTCTTGCGCTCTTTGTGCTGCGCTCACTGCTCAGCGCAACTTCAATCTCCTTATCCACATTGAGCGTCAGCGGCACGGGCACACGACGCAAACGCCCATTGCCCTTGAGCACGTTAACGCGTGCGTGGGTCGCGGGCTCAACACCCTCGTCGGGTGTGGTAGACCGGGTCGTCGAGTACGAGGAAACGAGCGTCACAGTCGTCGCGCCTGTTTCGGCGCTGTCGTTCGAGTCCTGCGAGTCCTGACGGACGTGGTAGGTGGTCCGACTCCCTGCTGTGCTGGGCCGCGATGGCAGAGTAGGAACTGGTGGGTACTCAACCTTATAGAATGGCGTCAAGTCCTTCGCTTTCGGTGTCGTAGGCCGCGATGACGAGCGGCGCAGCCAATTACTCAGACGGTGGAGCGACGTCGTGCTTGTCGAGCTCGCCGTCTTGGGCGGGGGTGGTGTGATTGGGTTCGAAGTCAGGGGGCCAGTGAAGTTGCGTGCGGGTGGGTAGAGGGAGAAGTTCGGTGCTCGGCGGAGTGCAGGAGTGGAATTTGTTGGGGGGTTGGGGAGCGGTTTGTTGGCGAGGGGGACGGAGAAGGCGGAGCCGATGTCTGAGAGGGTTTCTGAACGGACGTGCATGCGCATTGAGGGCGCGAAGTGAGGGACGTGGTGGGATGGGGAGGGAGGAATGCGGTTGCTGAGGGTGGGGACTTGGATTTGAGAGCGGTAGGCGGAGGCGCGGCGTTCTTCCACGATGGTGTTGAGCTCGCGGATTGCCTCGTCGACGTCTGTGTTCGCTCGGCGGAGACTGCTTGGTCGTGTGGGCGCAGTGTTTGCTCGGCTGCGGGACGGTGAAGGGAGGCGGGAGAGCACGCGAGCTGGTGTGTTCGCCCCGGAAGTGCGTGAGCGTCGTAGCAGCCCAGGTCCGCGAACGACGGACTCCACGCTGGCTTTTGGCTCCTCATTCCATGATGGCAGAGCTGGTGTTGCCATCGTGCCAACGGTCGAACCCGAGAACCTCCTCTCGTGCGTGGCCATGCTCTGCACGCTTTGCACGCTTGAACGTCTCGAACCGGAGCCGACTGGCTTTCTGGGAATGTTGTGTAACGAAAGATTGGAGAAGTATGGTCCTGTTGCCGTTTCGTTTCCTCGAACTCGCGCCGGCGCGGGCATGCTTAGCGGTGACGGCTTGCTCGTCCAGTTGTCTTCCGTTTGGAAATCGGGGAGTGGGGATAGTCGTCCACAACCGTCGCTGCCATACATTGAAAGTTGCAGAGGACGAAAGCTACGGCGTCTGGTATTCGATGGTACATCCGTGGCCATGAACTCTACGCTGTCGAAGCCATCAAAGTGCCGAAAGTTGGTAGGCCCGCTGATACTGGGTCGGGAATGTGATCGCGTTGGTCGAGTAAGGGTGGAGAGACTTGCACGAGATGATGCTCTTGCAGCGTACTCGCGACTGTTTGTTACCCATTGCGAGATGTGTTGGCTCATAATCTGACTCGTTGTTGGCCGCGGAGCCAAAGGATTTGTTGGGGAAACTGGCATGGCTTGAGGCTGCTCGTATATCCGTGTAGCTGATCGGCCTGGGAGGTTGTCAGTATGATGTGGTCGAAAAATCCAGCGAGAATGTTGTGGAGATTGAAGACGAGGTGCGAATTTGAGACATTTGGCTTCCAGATGCATATGCAAGGTGGTTGTGCAGCTCCACACGATGTGGATTACTGACAGCAAGGCAAACCTCTGTATCTTCACCAACATGGAGCTGTAAGGTAAAATCGCAAGGGCGGCCAACACCACAGTCATTGCAATGCTGGAGAGTCGCGTTGTTTGTATGACGAAAGGAACTTGTTCAACATACCACTGTGCCCTTTCTTCTCAGATGCAACATCATCCCCCGATGCACAGCATCCGCCGACCCCAATAGTCAACCATGAGTTCTTCCTTCGATGGCCCTCCATATTACTCAACGCCGCAGACCAGGCAGCTAATACTCCACCTCAATCGCGAACACACTCTTGCAGAAAACGAATGAAGCGGCCACAAATTAGCCAGCAGGTACGCCTTCTCTCTCAAAAAATCAAAGCTCGAACGAATGAGAAAAATGCACAATGATGAAAGACCGCGGCAATGTACAAAGAAGAGGTAAGAGAACAGAGAGCAACCCACAATCGATGTGTTGTCCACGTTCCAGAAGGTCTATGTGAGTCTGCTCGCAGCTTCGGCCTGCTCAGACAAGCTTGTCGTCCCAGCCTTCAGCACGTCTCTCGGCTCACCACGCGACAGGTCGACATTCACCCAAGATATAGATGAACGACGCCTCGAGCAATCGCTACCCACTGTTATGCGCCCAATTGCAGCAACGCATTGCGATGTCGTTAACGTGCAACGCCAGCCGGCAGCTTTAGATTGATGGCTGTTGTGGGATCTGGGGGAGCTCATTGGGTGGAGGGCGTTTTAACCGCCGAAGACGTGCAGCGAGGATTAGCCACTCACGGTGCAATAGCGCTTAGGGCTTGAAACCGACAGATGCCAGAGTGAATGTGGCAAGCTGGGGTGAGCTTGTTGAAAGTGGGTTCATGCATTGTGGAGTGAGTGCCTGCAAGGTGGAGGATGTGTGTGGAATATGCACGGAAGGAAGATGCTGGGACGGGAGTCATCGTCCCATCGATCGCGCGAATGGACCTGCGACAGCGGCAGTTCACGATGACCATTGAAATATGAGACGCGTACCATGAACGGAAGGCAAGGCCATCATTGCAAGGTGGAGAGAACGTTGTCGTGAAATTCTCCAGGCTCTGGTGTTTGTCGAGAAGGGACAACCAGTAGAGTTGCAAGACATTTCTCACTGGGCGATTTTCCAGAATTCCGAAACAAATGTGCATTGCTTCACAGCCAATCACCTCCTCAAATCGCCCACTTCTCAATCACACCCACGAGCCGCAAGCTCGTGTTGCTGAATTGCTTGAGCCAGCGCATGCTACCACACTAAATGTTTTTCAAACCTTGTCGGTCGAGCCGCAGATCTGCATGCATCCCGATCAGGCATGTGGATGGGGCAATCCAGAAAGGGGAGATTGCTATAGCTTTGTTAGGCTCTGATGGTCGCCATAGCAAGCTCTGAGTGTTTATGCGAGGCGTGCTGTCGCAATATTCCTGATTGGTGATGACTGTCAGACGAAGTGGCATGCAGCAGAGTGTGAAGCTCACAGGCCTGTACCTGCTTGACGCCCTGGCTCAACCCTTGAGCAAGGAGATCAATTCAGAGTCCCAGAGTATGATTCTTAGGCACGCTAGTGTGTTAAAGGCTGAAAGACCTGTCTGAACGGGTATATTGAATAGTACACTATGTACAAGAGCAGACCAGAACATCCCCTGGCCTGCACCGACCGAGTAGAGAACCATATGCCTGCTATTACTGTCGCCAAAGGAGAAATAAAATATCGCAATCGTACAGACCGGCGGAAACAGTGGTGTATCGATGTCCCGACACATGAGGAAGCCAGACGGACATTACTGCTCGAGCGTGGATTCGTGAACAGCAAGCTTCGCCCGCAAGGTGTGGTTCTCGTGCGTCAGAGCTTCGTTCAGTTCCATTGATTTACGCGTAGCCAGCACGAGCTTGTTGTGATTCGTCTTGAACGTTTCAATCATGCCCCTCAACTTCGTGAGCTCCTCGCGGAAGCGCGCCTAGTTCTTGGGAGGGTAGCGCTTGAAGAAGTATCTGTCTGTTGTCAATTCCCATCGTTACTTCATTATCGACCATTGCAACTTACTGGCTGACATAGTAGTCACCGATACCAAACAACCCAACGATACCAGCCCAGGCCGCAACAACCTTGCCAGTCAGCTCGCCGCGGCTGTACTTCCTGTACGCGCCGAAGCTCAAAGCCGCACCAAGAACAGCGAGACCGACCGTGTTGCTCAAAACAACCGGGTTGTCAGCGTTTTTCCTCGCCTTGTCCTTAGCCTTTTCCTTCTTGGCGGCGGCGTTGTCGCGAATCTCCTTGGCGGCATCCTTGATCTCCTCCTCGCGCTCTTTGCGGGCGGCCTGGGTGTCGGTCTTTACAGATTGCGACTCGTAGTCGGAGGGGACGGAGGAGATGTGCGGGCTGTCGACGTCGACGAGAGAGGAAACAGAGTCCTCGGTGTGCTCAACCTGGGGCACGGCAGGAGCGCGACTGGGATGAAATCAGTATCAAAGCTCCTGGGAGCTGTCTAGGGAGATGACTTACGCCTGCGCATATGTTAGCGATTGCCTAGTGTTGACGATTTTCACATGTACTGACCTCCTCGGGGCTCTGCTTGGGGCCGCTGGCGGCAACGTCGGCGTAAGACATAGTGGTGTGTGGGGGTTTGGAGTGATAGAGAGTCTACAAGAGAGCGAAATGAAGATGTTGGGGGAGAGCTGGTGTGTTGATGGGAGAATGTAAAGAGTCGATCGTGTGATGCCGGAGTTGGCACACTCGCGCGAAACATACGTCATTCGAGCGTAGATAGCTAGCGCAAACAGCTTTCCGCCGGCCTACAAGGAACGGGAGCTTTCCACAACTGATCGACCACGGTTTCAGCGAAATTCAATTTTATGCGCGCACTTGATCCTGGCGAACATCACGCACGCTAAGGAAGTAGAGCCTTGTAGTCAGATGGTCGTATGCAACGCTGCAATGGTTCAGGCTATCTCGTGGTCAAGACGCAGTCACACAAAACAACCCTCAAGGGTATAACAACAGCCTCCAAGCAATCCGTATGCGCCTGACAGTCTTGGGCAGGGGAGTCCTCCTTCGACCATCATATGTTACAGGAATGAGCAAGTGTGGTGAATGCAGCCTCAAATGCATAGCTTCCGACCAACCACAGCCGCTGACAGACACCCACGCTACCGAGTCGCAAATATTGAACAAGTAGAAAAGACAAATGGCTGATTTCAAGAAGAAATCGTTCGACGAGGAAAGTTCCCCTGATCGTGTACCGACCCTCCTGGGCGCATCCAGCAGAGGCAATCTAGCCCAGCAGTGGTCTGAAGTGCCATGATTCGAGAAGCCGATGAAGGCTGACTTTTCCAGGAAGTGCGCGACTGGTATCTGATTCCGTACCTACACAGCTCACAGACTTGAGCGCGACGATGCACTGCAGAGAGATTGTGAGCCAAAGACCGTTGGAAAAAAGCTTTTACTCTTCACCGAACACAGTCTTGTAATTTTCCAGTAGCGCTTGCACTGCGACGCGCTGCTGCTGAACATCACTCAACTCTCGCTGAATATCCATGGGTCGCATGATCGTGGGTGCAAAGACGACAGCAAGGTTTAGTGGTGTCATCTGACTTCATGTTAGTGGTGACCTCAAGTCAAGTGTAGTGTGTGTACATACTAGGTTATCATCCTGATGCTGAATGACTCGCGACAAATGGAAGACGAGGAACTGCAGAGTGTCACGATGCGCCTTTGGTATCTCATTGATAGCGAGCGCAAGGGCTTTGGATTGTGCTTCGGGATCTTCGAGTTCTACGCAGGTGTTAGTGTGTTCTGGTCGAAAGGTGAGTAGATACTTACGACCAGCTTCCAAAAACTGATCATACACATCGAACGTGATCAATGGTACCGGCAGTCGGCGGAAGTAGTTCTTCAAAGCTGACGTGACGGAGTGGATGTCGAGATCTGGGTCAGAGATGTCGTAATCGGCCTCCGACTCAAAGCCGCTGCGAACCTGGTTGACCTGCGAGCTGCCTCCACTCTTGCGGTACACACCCTCAACATCCATTCCGCGTAGCTCCACCTCTTCAATGCAACGGCTGACGACTCCAGGAATCATTCTCTTTTCGAACTCGCAACGGGCGGACAAGTCGGAACCGAACAGAACGGTGCTGGCATCCGCAGCCAGGTTTGTGCTGCTGTTGTTCATCTGCATGGGCTTGAAGCGATCGTTTGGCTGCTTGTTCGCGCCACCCTTCGCACTGCCGCCACCGAACCAACCCTTCGGTGTTTGCTCCTCTTTGCTTTTGAGTGAGCTAGACATTGAGGCGATATCCGGCTGCTGGTGAACGGATCCATAAGGCGTTCCAATGACTTTGATGTTATTGTAGTCCTCTTGTTTCTGTTCGGAGCCAAATGCACCCTTGAAACCCTTGGTAACGTTGGTGGTGAAAGCCTGGCCACCCTTCTTGAACTTAGAGAATTTGGTGGCTTTACCAGTCTTGCGAATGTTAACGACCTGGGGTTGCGCAAGGGTTGCTTCGCTGTCTCCATCGTGGATGTGTGGGAACGATGGCTCGTGCGGCAGATTATGGGCGTCGAGGGAAAGCTCCGATTTGCCGCCCTTGTGTTGGGTGTTATAGATCCCAAGCCCATTCCCTGCGGCATCAAAGGGTGGTCCGCCCTTCTTGTTATTCATCGTCTTCTGGATGTTCTCAACAAGCTCCCTATTCATAGCAGAGAGCTTGGCATTTTGAGCTGTGAGGGACTCGTATTCCTGGAAACCCTTATCCTTCATCTGGATCAAGTTTGAGATTTCGTCTGTGAGCTCAGCCCTTTTAGAGATCAAATCCTCGATTTGCCCACCGAGCTGATCCTTGAGTTTGTGCAGAGAATTGGCGAAGTCCTTGAGAATGTCTGACTTGAGTTGGTTGATGTCCATAGATCCGTTGCTCTCTTTGGCGTGCTTGAGATGCTCAGTCATGATCTCGAGCTCGCGAATGACCATCTCGCGTTGCGTGTCGAGCACAGCCATTGTGTTCCGCTTTTCGCGAAGGACAGTGTTCGCTTGCTTGATGTCTGCTGCGCTGTGCATGGACTCCTGCAAGCCGTTCTTCTCAGCTTCGAGCTCTGCGATGCGTTGCTGGGCGCGGCGCAACTCATTGCGAAGATTGACACTCTCCTCTTTCGAGTCTGGCGAGGCAATCGTGGGACTGCTAATATCGATGGATCCATTTGTAGGCCATTTCTTGTGACCTCCCCTCGAAGTAACAGAGCCGCGCTCGCTAAGACTACGTCCATGTTTGTGGACTGCATTTGAGACGCGACGGAAGACACCACCATCCTTCTCGTCCTTGTCGTGGCTTCCCAGAAGACGCGCAAAGTCCTCGTCCATGGAGAAGTCGCCCTGCGCACTGTAACGGGGCAGGCCACCACCTGGCGCATACACATCTCGCAAACTCTCATTAGGTAGGCTGCTTACAGACTCACTGGTCTTGTGTGTGCTTGGTGGTTGAGGCGGGGCACGGGGAGATGTGAATGTGTCTGAAGATGGTGGTGGTCGTCTGTCGGCGGAACGGGCCGGGGGTACAGGCACGTCAGAGAAGCCTCTTGAGGATTCCAAAGGGGTGTTGATACCAAGACCCGCACTGACATGAGCGGGAGCGCCATGAGTTGAAGAAGTTCGCTGTGGGTGCTCAACGGTGGGTGTGGTTGGCGAAGGGCTAGGCCTATCACCAAGTTGAGTGGAGCCAGAGGGCCTCAGTGAGTCCCCACGAGCCGGGCGCTCCACGCGCTGAGTTGAGCTAAATGATGATCCCGATGCCGTTCCAGGCGAATCCTGGGTGCCAATCGGCGGCGATGACGTAAACGTAGGTTCGATCATAGGCCTGCTGAGTCTCGAGGACATCTCAACGCCAGGCGAACCGTGTCGCAGAGGAGAATCGCTGCTCTCTGAGTCCTTGCGTCTGGCGTCCGCCTTCCTGTTCTTGGGCACCTCTTGCAGTTGGAAGGCATCCGTTGCCGAAGAGGGAGCAGGAGAAGCATGCTGGCTGCGAGACCTCTCGTTGATCGACGGCGATTCACTGGACGTGTCCCGCTGCTTCCTCAGTGTATTGACTATGTGGTCAGAAGGCTGTCTCCCCTTCTCCTGGAACGCAATGTGCGGGCTGGCTGGCGTAGGTCGCTCAGCGGATCCAGACCTTGAGTTGTTCTCCTTCAGCTTATCGCGGGGGTCAGCCGTGGGTCGGTTGAAGTAGTCGCGGCTGTTCTTTCCGTCACCCGATGCTGACCCAGAGCCCATTGTTCGGTCCGGGAACTGCCTACTCGCGCGACTTAGGGGCGAAGGCCCGGGCGCGGGGTTGGGGTCGAGGGCGAAGGGAAGCAGGATACCGTCGTCGCCGGCGTCGGACTCTGAGTGTTTATGCTCCTTGTTGTATGTCGTGGCCGGGAGAAGTATGTTGTCTACATAATAGCAATGGTCAGCTTCAGGATGGCGCATGCTGAGAGGAGAGTGTTGGAGTGGGAGAAGACGAACCTCTTCGCGCGGAGTCGCCCGCTGCAGGGGATGCATCGCGCCTGAAGTTGGAGGATGAGTCGCCCCTTCTGGGCTGGGGAGGTCTGGGAGAAGCATCCGCGGTTGTGGGTTCAGAGAAGACATCAGAAGGCGTTTCAGCGTCCGGTGTCAACACGCTGCGCTGTGACTGCTGCTCTTCGAACTGCGGTGGGAGTGCCGGAAGGGATTTGTCGACTTTGGGCGCTGCTGGTGCGGGAGGCTTTTTGGATTTCTTTCGACGTCGAGCCATTAGCGATTCATGACATGACATGCAGAAGATTCCCTGCGATGTGCGTGCATAGCGCAGGTTCTCAATCTTTCGTTTGCAATTTCTGCATCTGAAACAATTCGCACAGAAGGCCTGGTCACCGGTCAAGATAGCTAGGTCCTCAATCTTATTGCCGCAGTGATTGCAGCTATACGTGCAGTTATTACAGATCAGGGATCCGTCTCCCAGAAGCAGCAGATTGGCGTCCGAGTCGAGAAGTGTGCCGCAAGTGTTGCAACGAAAGCAGTCAATGTGCCATCGGTTGCCCGCTATGCATTGTCAGTATGTATGCTCGAGGGTTGGGGTGCGTGCAGTGGAAGGCACGAGGGGTCAATGGGGGGCAGGCATACCGAGCTCGAAAGCTTTGCCTTCCTCCAGGATCTACGAGCTGTGTTAGCATAAGCAATGCGACTCGAGAACAGTGCCATTACCTCTCCACACCCCTTACACGGGTATACAACATCGTCTTGGTCGCCGTCCTGATCAAGCAGCGACTCCGGGTAGCCGCCTGGCGAGTCCATGGTGGGCGAGCGCAATGTGTGTGAGCGCGGTCGTCGAGAAGAGAGGTGGCGGTGCGAGCGAACGGGCGGGGCGCGGCAGTGGTCGTTTGGCGGTGAATTCGCAGGGTCGAGCGAACGGGCTCAGCTGCGGCGGCGAGCAAGCGGAGGTGAAGGTGAGAGAAGATTAGGGCGTGTGGTCAATAGCGGGCATGGCGTCAGCGACAATGCACACGCGGCGGCGACAGCGACAGTAGCAGCGAGCACCAGCTGTTGGCACTCGGGGCGTGAGGGCTCTGCGGCAAGTGAGGTTGTCGATATGTGGTAGCTCGAGGAGACCGCCCGCTATGACCAGCGGACCCTGGGATCTCGCACTGCTAATCACTGGTAATCGCAGATGCACAGACTTCGCGTCTTCGCTGGACCTGCGCCGGGCTTGGAGGCGGCTTGAGGGTGGACCAGCAAGCTGGGGGGCCTCTGCAGATCCCCTCGAGCGTGGTTGGTGAGGCTTGCAACACAGGTTTGAGCGATGGAGAGGCTTGCAAGCAATGCCGCTGGTAGACCATGAGCAACTTCTCACCAGAGCACAACCTCAGCTGCAGGGCCTGTCTACCGCGTCAAGGCTCTTCGGAGGGTGTTTCATGTCGCCTGGCCACGAATCCTTAGCCGATCCCCACATCACCACACTCAATTCGTCCAAGCGCTCCCTCCATCCCAAAAACCGCGATCACTTTACGACTCAATGCGGCGCCCATCACGCGTTCGATATTGCGACACACGGGACGGCGATTCGTGAACTGCCAGGATCGGCAGACCTGCCTTATGCTGGTGGTTGTAGTCTCCAGCCAGTCGTTTGTTGCGGTGCGCTGGAAGTATTTCAAAATAGAAAGGCGGATTTGTAAACCAAAGGCCTCAGCTCACACGTCCAAATGCGCAAATGCAGGTACGTGGCCAGCTTGCTGACCGTCTGACACATGTCTGTCACCGTCAGATGCATCGGTGCATCGACCAGACAGCACAGCCCGCACGCAAATAAGGCATGTTTCAGACCCTACTGCGACGCTGCACTACTCTACACGTGTCCGCCGCCCGTCTGACAAGTAACGCTCACCTAGAGACAAGAGCTGGTGGCGAGCTACACAACTGGCAACTGAACCTCTCTCTTGTCTGGCAAATGCTGAGTAATTCCCAAGTTCGTTGAGCTGATAACGTGAAAGAGGACTTTCAGTCGTCTGTGTTCGAGCTTGTACTCCCACCTGGGGCAGATTTGTTTCGACTTCATCTCGGTCATCACCTTATCAAATCACGACCCTGAAACGAGCGGGAATGGCAAAGGGTCACGGACGTGTTTCATCGTACCGAACGTCGCCTCAAAAGGATCCGCACCGCCGGTACTAGTTGCCGGATGAAGAAGCAACGTCTACCACATATCAACGTCGACAACCACAGCAACAAGCGCGGAGTACGACCCCAGATTATAAATCCATCTTGTCCCACTCACAACCATGCGCAGCTTCACAAGGAACAACAGTCAACACGGTGCAATTATGATGTCCAGGTGGCTCGTGCTGCAGCGTCATGGAAATGAATGAGCTTATGGATGGTCGTCGATCTGTCAAGGCAGCATGCGTCCAGACCTTCGAACGTCCATATGTCGGTCACACCATCCCTCCTGCTTGGCACTTGGGGCAAATAGCGGCATGTTCCTCCAGCTAAGCACAAGCACTCATCCCCACAACGAGACGACTACATCCCAGACGAGTTTCCTCCACTCTTGCACGATGCTCATTCCACTCTTAAGGGCAGTAGGAGGCTACCAGCCAGCAAAATGCGAGCTCTTGAATGGTTCAGCTATGCAGCTGCTCTCTGTGTGATCTCGAGGTGGGCCACTGCTATGCTTTGCACATTATACCATAAAGTGAATATCGACTACCACTTTTCGATCACTCTTGACTCAATCCTAAGGTTCAATTGAGCATCAGATAGCCCTACCTTTGCCACTAAGATTACGAAATGACTCCATCTGTTCTTCGTTCTCCAAGTACCTACAATCACGCTTTGGTTATGATCTCATATTTCACCGGACATCAAGTCCACACTCCATCTTAGAATGTTGTCATTTGTTTTTCTTTAATCGTGTGACTCCATTCGACTTTGACGAAAGGAGTCTTACGGTCATCTTCAATACACAGTTGCTGATGTCAAAGTAGTTCGCGGAGACAATTGTGACGTGGTGGTACAGCAGTTTGGCCCCCAATGCACCGCAAACTGATGGCTCTTCAGCAGTCTAGTATTGGACGGAACAGGCAACCCGAGCATTACAGTTGGCATTACAACTATGCGTATCTCTACATCAGCGTACATTTAGTCCTCAAATAGGACGTTGGCGGAGGCGGGCTATGGTGGGGCTGTTCTTGATCAAACAGCGCAGGTGCAGAGCTAAGGTACAGCTACCCCACTTCGACGGTTGAACATGGTTAAACATGGACGCTGGACGTGGGATCTGAACAACTATTTAACCAGCTCAGTTTCCCCCTCTTCTTCGATCCTCCATCAGTCCTCGATTCTCTCATCGACCTATCATCCGTAATCCTCCGTTCAACTCGCCTGAGATGCAAGGGAGCTCACTGACCGTTATACAGGTACTCAGTACAAGTATGGCAGCTGCCATGCAGGATGTGGTCCGCCAGCAGGCGTTATCCTTATGTTATCAAGGTACTTTCAAGCAAAGTATACTAAACGACAAGTATACTGCATGAACCGGTGTTCGTTTCTGGAAGCCCTCTGCTGCTCTTGTCATGCCCTACGAGGATGACTAGATAGAAAAGCAAGGACTTCTGGATTCGTTCTGAGATTATACGGTTTCAACTTGATCTGGATAATACCAGCGAAAGGACTCATGCTTGCCCCCTGTGGAGAATAGACCTAACCTGTGGCAGATTTTGATCCGTGAATAAACCATCGACAACATGTCTCCCCCCGCTGCCGTCTTTGAGTCTCCTGCCCCTGCCGTCCTTGGCAATGGTGTAGACCTCAAAAAGAGCCTCGCCGTTAAGGCTGCCTCTGTCAGTCAGGATGGTCAGGCAAAGACTCTGGCTGAGTTCGAGAGCAACTGGGACAACTTCACGTTCGCTCCCATCCGTGAGAGCCAGGTCTCCAGGGCCATGAGTACGTCTTCCTCCAGATCTAAGGTTTGTTTTGCAAACAGGACTGACAGTATCTAGCCCGCCGTTACTTCCAGGACCTCGACACCTACGCCGAGTCTGACATCGTCATCGTCGGTGCCGGATCTTGCGGTCTTTCCACTGCTTTCATGCTCGCATCCAAGCGCCCTGACCTCAAGATCGCCATCGTCGAAGCCGGTGTTGCTCCTGGTGGAGGTGCGTGGCTCGGTGGTCAGCTTTTCAGCGCCATGATCATGCGCAAGCCCGCTCAGCTGTTTCTCAATGAGCTCGGTGTCCCGTATGAGGACGACGGCGACTGGGTCACCGTCAAGCACGCGGCGCTATTTACATCGACTCTTCTGAGCAAGGTGCTCCAGTTCCCTAACGTCAAGCTCTTCAACGCCACCACAGTCGAGGACTTGATCACCCGCCCGGCTCCCACTAGGAAGGACCCCAATGCTGTCCGCATTGCCGGTGTCGTCACCAACTGGACCCTGGTCTCCATGCACCACGACGGTATGTTCACACGAACCAGATGTACACACACCTCATTAATGTCCGCGCAGACCAGTCCTGCATGGACCCCAACACCATCAACGCACCCCTCGTCATCTCGACCACCGGCCACGACGGCCCATTTGGCGCCTTCAGCGTCAAGCGCCTCGTCAGCATGCTGCAGATCGAGAAGCTCGGCGGCATGCGCGGTCTCGACATGCGCACTGCTGAGGATGCCATCGTCAAGCGCACCCGCGAGGTTGTGCCTGGTCTGATTGTCGGTGGAATGGAGCTCAGCGAGGTTGATGGAGCGAATCGTATGGGTCCCACCTTTGGCGCTATGGCACTCAGTGGTGTCAAGGCTGCTGAGGAGGCTCTCAATGTCTGGGACGAGAGGAACGCTCAGAACGCGGAGTAGGCTATGAAGCGGTGGCCGACACGTAGTTATTCGCAACAAACACCGTCACTCGTTCAATCAACCTCTTAAGTACTTGTGTGATGCCACTGAAGGAGTGCTGCAGCCTTGCGCTTTGTGACCGACACCTCGGCCTGCACCCCCTTGTAGTTGTTCTTTGTTGAGCTTACACTCGTGGCGGGGTTGCACAAGGCGCGCCTTAGGCTCTTGTGGTTCGAAGTCGACAGCAGGGGGATGCATGTTGCTTGTGACGTGTTTCAGACACGTACAAGACTGTTGCCGTGTTGCGCAGATGTTGTTGTTGTTATTGTTGTTGTTGTTGTCTGTTATTATCTATGGCCGCCAAATCGTCTATAGAGCAAGTCCCATAGCATTTGATAGCGAACGAAGAATACACGGACGTGCCTCTGGACGTGACCAGATGACGAGCATACGAGACGCATGAGGATCTGGGCCTGAGCCCTCACCATCCCTTGTACCTCCATTGACCTCACTCTCATGTAACCAAATCTTTGCATTACCAGAGGAGCTACTGCTCCTCTCGTCTTCCATAGTCTTAGACTCAGATAGGACGTTAAACCAATCAATCAATCAATCAATCGAGACGCATGAGGCTTTGACCACTTCCATGTGAAACATGAGGGGTATCTTTGAGTGGTGCACGGTTGCGTAGGTGATAGGCGCTAGCGGCAGGTGGAAACGCGCAGGGGTGCATTCGCTGACAAGCACCGGTGTTGTTGTTGACTGACGAGCGGTAGACTACCCGCAAAAACATAATACCTCAGATATGCCCCACTGAGCCAGACTGCTACCACAACAATCGCTTCTCAGGCCCTGCTCACCATGGAGGAGCAAACGGCCGCCCTTCTCGCGGCGCTGAAGAAGCAAGCGTCGACTAACGTCGACAAGCGGCTGGACCTCTTTAGCAGCCTGAAGTCCAGTATCAAACACCAGCGCGTGCCCGAGAGCTGCCAGGCCTCGATTCTTGAATGCATCCGAATTGCCATCAGCGCCCAGACATCTGCACAGCTCGTCACCACCGGCTTCTCCACCCTCAGTCATTTGATTAAGCGGCTGGTGCTGCAGAAGGAGACTCACGTCATCACCACCCACGCCTTGCAACTATGCCCCATACTGCTGGACTACCTGGGCAATGCGCGCGAAGGCCACCGCAGCGCTGCCTCGGTGCTGCTCGTCGAGCTCTACAACTGGTGCCACACGGAGATCGATGCCGGCATTCACAGCGCGATAGGCGGCAGCAACCCCCGCGCAAAAGAGACAGCTATGACGTGGGTTGTCAAGATGAACAAGAACCACAGCCTGCCGTTCAAGAGCTACGTCAACCAGCTGGTCGCGAACTGCGAAGATGCCGACCCTGAGGTGCGCAATGTAGCCAAGAATGCAATTGTGTCGCTGTTCCAGTACGTAGACCACCCATAGGAAGGGGCCACGAAGTCTGGGTCTGGGAGCCCAGTGCTGACAGTGGAACAGGACCGCCCCAACGAGCGCGAGAGTGAATCTTAAGAAGCAGCTCGCTGCTCATAACGTGCGAAAAGCGACCCAAACCTTCATCACTGCACAACTAGACGACGTCGCCATGGACGAAGAACACAACGAACCAGCGCCCGCACCCGTGCGCGAGCGCGCCCTTCCCACCTCGAGAGCGAAAACGCTGCAGCCGGACACTGGCTTCGCAGACAGCTTGGCCGCGGAGCAACCCCCACCCGCCGAGGCCGTCTCTATGGACCCAATACACGTCTACACGCAGCGCGAGCTGGAAGACATTTTCCGCGACATGGCACCACCATTTGAAGGCAGGGAAAACGAGCAGAACTGGATCGGACGTGATAAGAACACAACGAAGCTGAGGCGCATATTGAAGGGCAACGCACCGACCGAGTTCCACGCCGCTTTCATGACAGGCATCAAGTCGCTGCTGGACGGCATTCTGAAGGTCGCCAACACGCTGCGAACAACCATGTCAACCAACGGGTGTCATCTGGTGCAGGAGCTCGCAAAGACGGTTGGACCAGCCATCGACCCCTGGGTGGAGATCTTGCTTCAGAGCTTCATCAAAATGTGCGCCGCTACCAAGAACATCGCGGCACAGAACGGAAATGTCACAGTGGATGCGCTTCTTTCGCACGTTTCATACAACAACCGCATCCTGCAGCACGTGCAATTCGCCTCGCAAGACAAGAACGTCCAGCCTCGTATCTTCTCGGCCAGCTGGGTAAAGACACTTATTCGCAAGCACAAGTCGCATATCGAACACTCGGGAGGACTGGACAGCTTCGATAAGATCCTGAAGAAGGGACTGACAGACGCCAACCCCAAAGTGCGTGAGGCCTACCGGAGCACCTACTGGACGTTCGCACTGGTGTGGCCCCAGAAAGCTGAAGCGTGAGTTTGCGTCTGTAACGAAGCAATGACTTTTACTGACGTTTACAATAGCATGTACGAAACCCTCGAGAAGCGCGAAAAGACCGGTCTCGACAAGGACCCGAACAACCCCAACGCATCGCTCGCATCATCGCAACCCAGCACGGCATCATCATTCTCGAAATCCGTTGGACCGGGTGCTGCAAGGACAAGTCTGAAGGAGAAGATCGCAGAGCAAAGACGGGCGAAACTGGCGGCTTCTAAGGGTGTTGCCGATCGACCCAGCTCTGCTGCAGCAAGCTACGAGACCCCGAGATCGCTGTCGACCAAGTCGCTGGGCGCAGGTGCGAGGACTATGTCCAATGCTTCGACAGCATCCAACGGACCGGCTCGGCCACCGTCCGCCATGTCTGGCGAGTCTACAAAATCAGCTCTGAAGAGTTCGACCGGAACTGGTTCGTTGATGGGCGGCATGGTACGGCGGCCGATCCGTCGACCTGAGCTGAACAGGCCGAAGACAGCAGATCCATACTCAGTGCGACAGAGCAAGATCACTCCGTCAACCACAACAACGCCAGAGAAGACACCGGCTCTCAAGTCGCTGAAGAAGTCTGTCGGGCCTACAACCTCAAGTGCAGCTAGGCCGCGATCACAAACTCAAAACAGCCCTGCCGTCAGTCCTGTGCGTGGCAAGTCCAGGCCGGATCAGGCTCGGACAACAACACACAGGAAGAACCCGAGCATAGGGTCACAACGAGGGAGTCCGGCAGTCAGTCCTCACAAGGACGAGGACCTGACAATGGTACGGCCATTCATCCGATCGCAGAGCCACCACGATGGCACGATGCCCTTCCGCCAGAGGAACGGGATGGACAAGCGTGCCTCTGTTGACAGCAACGCACTCGACATGGACGAGGATAACTTCACGATGATCAATGTCCCAAGCCTTGCGCGCCCGATATCACAAAGGGTACAGAGCACACCGCCCAAGCCCAACCCATCTGGAGGACGACTGCCGGTACCTAGCCCACGAGCTGCTTCGATGCTGAGCCCGAGTCTTCTACCAGCACAAAGTCCACGGCAGAGGTCCCCGGATCGGGCTGCGCAAGAGGAGGTTGAAGTGTACGAAGACCCCTTCGTGGGTGATGAACCATCGCCTGCAGGCCAAGAGGTCGACACGCCCGTTCTAGGAGAACTTCCGATTAACGAGAGGAGCAACGAGCGACAACCAGGCATAGACAGCAACGGCGACGCCATGATGGGCGAAGGGACCGAAGAGCGCATCCGAGGCCATCACAAGACCACCAGCACCGGAAGTGTCATGCACACCGAGAACAACGACGCCAACAGCCCCGAGACTCTCAAGAATAGACAATTGCTTGCCAGCGCTATCAAGAAAATCGAAGGACGTACAGTCGATGCTGGCATGTTCCGCAAGATCCAGGACGCGATCAAGTCAAACCAGGAGATTTGGGGCCCGAACGATGAGGTCTTCGGCAGGCTACTCCTCGCCTGTCTCGACTACTTCCAGACACCTTCTGCAGAGCTCAAGCTCCCTGCGACGAAGGCTGGCTCCTGCAAGGGCCAGGCTCTCGCAACCATACGCGCGATGCTGTCACTATACCGCAAGGAGACAGCAAAGTACTTCTCCCGTGTCCTCTGCACCATCTTGCAAGCCAAATCGCAGCACGAGAACACATCACACATTGCAGGCGACATGGAAGCCACAGCCAACGAGATCGTCCGCTACGGTCAAGTCTCAGACTGCTTGAACGCAGTCCTCGCCCTCATCGAAGACATGCCAGCCTCAACACCCACATCCTCCCCTAACTCGAAGTCCTCATCTCCATCATCCCCCGCCACCAACAGCACGCGCACCATGACCATGTCGCTGCGCACCCTAGCGAGCCTCGTCGAGATCACAAGCAGCAAGAACGTCGTACTCTTCCAGGAGCAGACGCACCGCCTGGGCAAGCTCGCGGTCAGGTGCATGGAAGACCAGGATGCCGATATCAGGAAGGCGAACATCGACTTCTGCATTGCGCTGCACGAACGTATCGTTGGTCCCGGCGGTGAGCCAAAAGCGTTCTGGGAGGCAGTCGCTGGCGCGAGGGAACAGCAGCTTAATCTGCTGACGTACTATCTTGCGAAGAAGGAGAAGGCTTAGAGAGCCAATTCCGCGAAATTTGAGGGCGAGCTTACACCGATTGAGGAGCGCACGTGGGAGGAAGAGATGTTTTGATCTTTGCGGCTGGGTTGGGTTGGTGCACATAGGGTGGGACCATTGCAACACAGGGGCGTTACGAGAAAAGCAAAGGATCATCGATAGTCACTTCCTTATCTCCTTCTTTGTCTTGGTGGGAGTTTGGGCCTCTATTGTATCAACACTTCGTTCTTCGTTTAGGATCTACGCGTAGTCTTTTAATGCTGATAACTTGCCAACATTCAGATAAGACCTGGAATACCTCCAGGCCCCCTCAACTCATGCCTCCCTCACCACGGTGCCTTCAACCCATCACAAGCAATCCCAAACTCCCTCTTGACCCCCTCCGCACGCCTTGGTCCAAAGCCTATACTCTCATACACACTATCCAAACAACTATGGGTTCTAGCGGTTGCTGTAGATAAGGGTTGGTTAGAGTGTTGTAGGGAAGGTGAGGAAGCTAGAAACAGTGAGGGGTGGGACAAGAGACGTACAGTGTCTATGAGGAGACGGCGTTGAGGTAAGCTAGGGTGAGGAAAGTTGATAGCTGCATGTTGCGGTTTTTGCACATGTCGCAACTCGTGAAGAATTCTCTTGTGGTTCAATCGTCCTAGATACAATAGGTCTTGAGAATCATTACCTCCAGTTAAGTACTTCTACTGCTGCTATACCACATCCGATCCTAGATGTTAGCATGTGCCAGTCTCTCTGGAACGCATCATGAAGAAGGGCCGACTGTACTCTGAACGTGATACCAGAGAAGTTTGGACTACTGCACAAACCCCTCATACTGTTGAAGTTCGACCGCTCAACCTGGAGCCTAACGTTGTACATTTCTTTACTCTTTGATTGCATGGAGTCAATATCCGCAGAGGAAGTCGTGAGAGCTGCAAAGTCGCCGTTGTGATGAGCAGCCGGATCTCAACTAACATGACGCGACATTCCACTGCTACCGATATTGTAGCTGATGTCGCACGCCCTTGCTGTCATCATCCCTTGTTCGTGCATCTCATATGAGTACTGGATAGTTCTTGGGACCACTCACGATGTCGCTGCTGGACTCGAATCTGTAACATCATAAGTTCAAGAGGCAAGCGGCAAATGTCGAGTGACGAGCAATACTGAGGAGGCTGGCGTGAGCTGACATCAGAGAGGAGATGAGATGCAGTTGAGTCTGGACCGAAGGACTTGTTTGCGGGCCCAGTGGGGTCCCTTGTGAACATGGATCGACAACTGTAGGGTCGTGCTATCCCTGTTGTCGGGTACCTCGTCCTTTGAAAGCTTTGTGCCTGCTGGAACCACATACGTCAGACGCTCGAGAGATACGAGTTGTACGCGAGCTTGTCGACCTCATTCAAGCTGTATGCTATTTGAAACATATTGCATCTCACTCAGACAGTACACCTACAATAGGATCTATTCGCAAAGTGTCAATGCTCGCTTACTGACTCGAGGCACGAGACGTTCCACCTGGTTCATCAACCCTCACCATTCCCAGCAACGCCTGAGCGCCTCGTCAACACAATACGTATCATCATACATGGGATCGATGCGAGTAAGCCGTTGCGGTCGCACGAATCGGTTTGAATCGCCGATAGAGCGCCGAAAAACTTTCCACATTTAGATTAGATCTCCGCATCTGGACCCTTGAATCGACGTCAGTCGCCAAGCCATGCTGTCATACGGTGAATGCGTTGTATCAATAAAGGTGTTCGGAGCACGATGTGAAACATCCCCAGAACGAGGCTGATAATCGGCTTCTTGATTACTCACTGTAAGTCTATCATCTTATTTGCTTTGGAGTGGAGAGTGCATTTGCCACAATAATTATAGCCATTGTTTGCGTCATCCCAGAGATAGGAAGCTACAATCCGAGTTGCCAATACTGTTTATGGTACCAGCTTCTTTGTTATCCTATGTATATACACAATCGACCGATTCACACTTGCTGACAACCTCCAGAGCCCAGCACAAAGTCCACCGCAAGCATGAGCTCGTCACTCGGCCTTCCCCCTTCTGATACTGGATTTGGCGACCCAACGCCATCTGGCCTCACACCTAGCACGCGCTCCGAAGCCGAAGCAATATTTTTCCAGAATGCCACCAAGCAGACTGAATCTGCGGCACCAGAGCCCTCCCTCGCTGCCGACGAAGCACGCGCAGCATACCAACGGCCTGGTGTTGTTCGTGCCAGCTCAGCCAACTACGAAAGGGCATTGAAAATGGCCCACGCGCAGAGCTCTGTCTCTTCAGACCTATCGACACACACCGAGTCCCCCGACAATGTTACCAGTGGAGTGACAGTTGCCTCGCCATCGCAGTCATCGCCGTTCCCACCACCAGGCCAAGGCGTTGTCCCCGACTACAGCGCGGTTGGTCTTGCCCCGACCGATTCTCTGAAGAAGTCTCGATCGAGGGGTCTGAGCCTCGGCGCACTTGCCCAACAGCAGAGCTGGAATGAGCAGGACTACAAGAGGCTATACAACGCCAATCTCATGAGTGAGGTCGAGGATGCGGGGTATGCTTCGGGTCACCAGAACAAGTCTTGAGTCCGGAGGCAGGCCATTCCAAGCTCGAATACTCATCAAATGTTTCCTGTCGTATCACATATTTGGCGGCAAACCACCGTCGCTTTCGGTCATCTTCCTGCTGGTTATCATATCCTGCGGATCTTCACATGTATGGCGTCAGGGCGCTTTTGGGATGGGGACCAAAAGCTGCGGGTCAGCATAGTATGTGCAACAACGTTCGTTCTGTTTCATGAATAATAAGCATGTTCTGATCTCAATCTTCATCCCATTTGTCACAATCAACTATATATGCTACTCTCCGGCTCCGCGGTCTCAAAGCTTTGGTTCATAGTAATACTGATCACTTAACCCTTCCACTTTGGTCTGTATCTTCTTGGTATGCATAACGAAGGACCGACGCATACACATGGCTCCTGTCAACAACATAGCATACGCAAAGCGCATAAAATCCTATGCCGCAAACTCGCCACCTTTCGCTCTTGCACCCCTTCCATCCCTGGGTCTCTACGTAATAACAACAAACGCTGTTGCAAGGTACCTTCCTTCACCTCGACATTGACACGTACTCAATAGCGCTATTTTGCTCTCACACTCTACTCGCCCGCTCTCCTTCTTCCAAGCTCAAAGCTCGCCAATACGGTACCCCAAGAACAACCCCTACTTTCAACATGCAGCTCTCCAAGGTTGCACTTCTTCTTGCAGCCCTGCCGACAGCTTTCACTGCTGCGGTAGTGCTCTGTCCACTTGGCTGCCACAGATGCGACGGCTCCCAGACCATTATCTGGGAGTGCGTTGATCGAGGAAACGGTATTCGAGCGATGAGAGGCGTCCAGGTCTGCCTCGAGGAGGGTGTTTGTCACATCGGACATGGCTGCTCTGCCTGGTTTGCTACAGCATCAAGATACGCCAGCTCTGGTCCCAACGGAGGCGGACTGCCAGCTCGGTGCCAACAAGTGCGACGATACAAACTCTTCAGTCATGATCTGCGGGGCTCAAGGCTGGAAGGCCACTGAGAGTTGCTCCAAGGTCGGTGCCTGTCATGTCGGACCTGCTGGCAATGCCTACTGCAACAAGGAGGTCGAGTGCAACCCAGGAGAATCTCAGTGTGTCGCCACCAACTACGTCTCCAAGATCTGCAACGACAAGGGCTTCTGGGAGACCAACCGCAAGTGCTCCAAGCCCGGCTGCTGCAAGGTGCAAGATGGCAAGGCAGTCTGCAAGGCCGAGTGCAGTCCTGGTCAACAGCCGCCTGCCGAGCGCTCTACTCTCAAGGCCATACGCGATGTTCCCATGCTTGGAGGTTACTGCACGTCCGTCGGCGAACGCTACTGTGATGAGCCTGCCCATGACTACATCCTCAAGTGCGGTAGTGACAAGATCTTCCACCAATAGAAGCGCTGCCCGAGCAAAGGCGGTTGCATCTACGACAACGCCTCAGTGGAGCCATACTGCCGATGAGCAGATGATCCTTGGACACAAAGTGAGTAAGCTGGCCCTTGTCAAGTCTTTCGATGTCCACATCTGATACGATAGTAGAGCTCAGAATGCTGGAAAGGGTGGCGTCGGCGCTTGTCTGGCTGAGGACATGATTGATGGCACGATGTCTCTGAAGTACTCCAGAAGGAAAGGACTTCAACACACGATGACGATCACAGCAGGTCTACTTGGCATATATATGCTAGACTAACAGATCAATACGATATATGCGGCTCACGCTCCACCGACTAGATCACGTTCGAGCCCGTGAAGCGCGCCTGCTTCCCATGCGCCTCTCTTGCTTTCACTCATCGTGGCACGCACGATAACATACCTTCACTGCGCTCAGCAAGCATATCATCCCAAAAGATTTGTAGCACATCGTCATCACAGTTCGAGTAACTCTATTTACCATATCAACTTTACCGCCAGATATGCTTTTCCTTGCCTTCCTTCTTGCTTTCTTACTGCCTTTCAGTGGTTTACTCGTCACCCACCGCCGCACCTTCAACCAAGTCGTCTGGATTCCACCTGCACTCGCGTCAGCATCAAAGTTCGTATGCTACAGACGCTGCGAGTGGTGTACACCAGCTGCCTCCAGGCTAGTACGCGTATCAAATCTCGTCTCTAACATCGACTAACCGCCGCAGCACAATGTAAAACAATTTTCAAGAAAAGATTTAGATCGTTAGTGCAAGACTAGGGCCTGCCTTATAGGCGACAGCGTAAGTCCGATGTTTGTAGAGGAAAGATAAGGAGCTAACGAAAGTGTAGTGTCCGGGTTGTGGGTATTTGTGGTGTTGAGCACCATGGCTTAGCAGTGGTTCGACGTGAGGGGACAAACATTCGTGTGAGTAGTGAAGATAAAAGCTGAGCAGAGTGTACACTTACGACTCTATTTCGTGCCGGCCTTTCTCAAGCAGGCACTTGAGTTGCAATCTATCTCGTGTCCCATAAACTCAACAAGGCATGTGCTTTTGATCCAACCCCACAACGCCGTACATGGCATGATCGTAACCTTCACGTACCGAGCAACCATTGTGCGATATTACCTAAGTAACCAAAGAAGGGATATCTCGTAGCATCCAGACCTCCGCTCTTGCCAAGCCAGAAGGCATATGCGCCAACGACAATCGCAAGACCAACAGCTCCATAACGACGGTAGTACCGTAAACGCAGTTGTGCATGCTTAAAGCTCCTAGTTGCTTGCTGGAGAACCTTCTTCTGGTACTGCTGTCTGCGGACCTCATTCTCTTGCTGAGCGAACAACCGCTCGCCATCCTCCAGCGTCAAGCGTTGTGTGTCGGCCAAGGTAGCTGAAGCCTTGAGCACGCTGGAAGATGATATACGCCACCACTCCCAGCTGCCTGGAGAACCTGGTGGGAGCCTTTCGTAGAGCTCGATCGAACGCGCGATGTGAAACTCAATGTCGAACGGCTCAGGCAGCTTGCTGAGCATGACGTGCAGTATATCCTCATCCTCCCTGTCGATCTCCAGCAGCTCCTCTCGTCTGGAAAGCACCACGGCCGCGAAGAAGTATAGCGGCATGACAGCATGACGCGCTAGGAAAAAGTCGAATAGTCTCGTGATGTCCTCGTACTCTTCTATGTTGTGGGCGAACATTGTGATCGTTCCGGCCAGCGCGAATGTTGCTGAGCTCTTGGGCAGGTGTTCGTACAGTACTGGATCGGCATGGTGAAGCAACGGGCGCAACAGCTCGAGTTGTGCTATGGCGGGTTCGAGAGAAGAGAGCATGAAGTCTCTGATTCGAAGGAGGCTGAGGCGGGCAGTTGCTTGAGGTGCAGCGTGTGTACCTAGGACCAGATAGAAGACCTGAACAATGTCGTGGTAGCCTTGAAAGTAGGACAGCGCTGGATGGCGGCGCAGCACTTCGAGGATGACGTTGGACAGCTCATGTTTCCGGCGGTCGAGCTCTTTCTCTGAACCTGCGGTTTGTTAGCATCTTGTATTAGATACCACTCTTGTCAGTCGTATTGATACTTACTATACTTGGGGTAGTATACAAAGGCTCTGTTCACGTCAAGGCCAACCTGCCCCTCTTCCCGATGTGCAGGTAAGTCCTTCCATGGTGTCCCTTCAGCGGCTGCATGTGCACACCCCAATAACATGGGCCATGCTGTGCGCCGCAAGTTATCGCTCACTAGGCCATGTGTGCTTGTCGAAAGGTCTACAAGAGCAGCAAGATCGCCCTCTTCGCAGGCAGTAGCAATCAGACCTTGTTTAGCTTTCTCTGCCAATGAGAGATCAATAGGTGTTGAGTGACGTGAGGATATGCTTCCAGAGCTCACCGAGGGTGATGGGGTGCGGGAGGCCATGTCAGCCACATCTCGAGCTTGAGTGCCACCAGTCAACGAACACGACAATCAGTCGATCGCTCAAAGATGACGTGGCTTCGTATTGGGTTGCTGGCGGAGATGATAGAGATGCACGGTACGTGTGTCGCTACATGACAGTGGTTGTGCATGCGCAAGCCATTCGCGCCAGGTCGACGCGAAACTTCTCGCGACTTCCTTCCCTGTCGAATCACAGGTCTTGGCGTTTAAAACAACAATACATCACATCAACCGGCAACATCATCAGTGTGTCGACATCCGCGGAAAGTCTCCTCTTCTGCGCGTGAGCTGCAGCTGTGCAGCTTTGCAATCCCGAAATTACTCGCTGCCGGCCTCCCGAAGTCCACAAGCTGGTTGAATCTGTGCCGCACTGCATGCGCCACGCCCCTCCAACCCCACCGTGCATGCAGGAAGCCACGGCAAAACCCCCGTCTTCGCCCCCAGCTTCCCTCGCCAGCGCTTGAAATTGCTGCAGTGACGGGCCCTTCGTAGCCCACTCCGCCAATCCAAACCACGCGTTCAGTCAAGATCGTGCTATCGACAGGCTGCATGATCTCGCTATCGAGATCCGATCACATTCGAAATCGATCTTGCGCCTAACACTGCGCCGCTACCGACTCGTACCATCACTCGGGCATGTAGCCGTCCAGATATATTGGGCTCCGTTGTAAAGTTGCATCTGTCACAGCTCGGAGCCTCTCTTGCAGCTCTGCAGTCAGGGGATTCTGGCTTACGTTACCTTCATTCGCTCTCAGCAATCCAGTCACTTACCCAGTTTTCTTTGCTACCGTTGTGCTGTCCCTCGTCTAGCGTCATCGAGATACTTCTTCACGAACACCCTTGATTGGACCCTTTGGGTTCACTGGGAGTGATCCCCGCCATGAACCACCAAGTCCAGGGTCTGGTACTTGTCAACAACGAATGGGTGTCGAGACCGCTCGACGTCTATCAGATTATGGCACGAGCGCAGCAAGATGATACCGAAATGCGGGAACCGGTCGTCAAGCAGGCCGTCCACCCCTTTGTGCCAGGGTATGGCATTCTTTCTAGGACAGTGCTTCCTAGTCCTCTTTTCAAATTTATCCTCCCCGCAAACATACGTCACAAAGATCTCAACGACATCGTGCTGGTAGGTGAAGACTCGATACAGCTGAACGAAATCCACGACTACGGACGTATTGGCCATGCCGCTGTTAAGTCAAACTTCAGCGGCCGGATTCTCACAGCGCGAGTGTTCGGTGACCCTCGCGAGGTTTGCGTCAACAGGAGCGTGGGAAGCCCAATGCCCAAAAAGCAGACAGTGCAGAGAAGCAGGCAGTCAACCACAGACATCGAGGAGCATGGTCTGCCTCCAGAAGTGGTCGTCCTCACTCTTACATCACGAACACTGATGTTCTTATGGGCTCAGCACAGCGCAACAGGCAAGCCCGTCTTCCAACAGAAGACTGTCAAGCTTCCCGCGGGTTCTTCGCGTTTCGACCGTCTCGGACAATACCTCGCTATAGATCCAAAATGTCGTGCCATAGCTGTGGCAGCTTATGAAGGACGGTTCATGCTCTACAAGACAAAATCCATGCAGTCATGGCGCAACGAATTGCGAAACGGTGCCGATACGATACCAATCGAGGATGAACGCATCATCTCGATTGAGGGCCGGATAATGCACATGGAGTTCCTCGCATCAGCTGTCGGAAAGGATTGTTATCATGTAGTACTTCTATTCATCGTTGTTCATCAGGGGTTGACCAAGATAACCTGCTTCGATTGGGATTGCAGATACGATCTCAGCACAGCGACAGCTCGTACAGAACGAGTTTCAGTGGATCTGGGTGCGTAAGCCAAACCTCCCTTGTTACCATAGGAAACGAACTAACAGGTTTAGACGACCAGAACCCCTTCCTACTGATACCCCTAAGCCGGAGTCCTGACTTCTTACTGGTTTTCGATAAGCATGTATCCGTCTATAAGGACGTGTTGTCCGGCGCTCCGCAGCGCACCGCGGTTCCCATTCCGAGTCACATTCTGCCGTCACTTCGTCCCGGCGATAGCACACATCGACCTCAATGGGTACAATGGGACAAGACCCCTCGTAACCCCGATTTTCCGAAGGAAACCTTCTACATCGCACGCGAAGACGGTCGGGTCATGTACGTAGAGCAGGGTCCAGCAGGCGCCGTTGAGATGGACGATGCGGGCGAGTGGCCGTATCGAATTGACAAAGCCTTTGCTTGCCTGAGCGTCGACAATTCAGAGTTCTCGCAATCTTACCCAGACGTGCTCATGGCAGGATCCGCCGGGAATGATGGATTGCTTTGCAAAGTCGGTGCCTGGCCAATGGAGTACTCCTACACGACACAATACCCCACCATGAATCAGTTCACCTATGTGGAATCGATGCCAAACTGGAGTCCACTCACGGGGCTATGTGTTACAGAGCTTCCTGGTATTCGAGATCCATACGAACGCGAGCGTTCTGCATTGTTCGTAACCAACGGAGTCGCACCTCACGGGCAGATGTCCGAGCTTCGACAAGGGCTACACGCACTCATCGATGGATCTTTCAGTGGCATGAATGGTTGCACTGGTCTGTGGGTGGTACATTATGGCAGTCAGACTGTCGAACTCGATGGCAGAAGTGCTAGACAACACTACGCTTTAGTGGTTGTCACTTTACCACTTGAGACTCTTCTGCTACGCCTTGTTCGCACACAACCTGAAGGTCGTGGCAAGTTCTCTGGTGCTTGGGACGATGGCATTTGGGACGTCACCCAGCTGCCGACCGAGGACGAGCCAATAGATGACGGCATCACACGGACCGAGGGGACTATCTCAGCTTGTATGCTATCAGACCGCTTCTCAATACAGATCACCCGCAAAGATGCGCAAATACTCAATTTACCCACTCTATCTTTGAGCGACAAGATTCAATTCCACGCGCCCATACTACTCGCGGCATCAAGACCCGGTCTCCCCTTCATTGCAGTCGCCCTCAAGGATGGCGGCAAGACGTGCTTGGAAATCACACCAATACTTAAAGACGGCACATTCGAGAAGCATAAGCGAACGCATCCGCGCCACATGCTGAGCGCCGATCCAACATGTATAGAGCTTCTCAAAGTTAGTGGACAAGCTTATGTCCTTGTCGGCACGCTCGATTCGAGAGTGTTCCTTTTCCAAGTCTCACCAGATCATGAGCTGTCCAAACTATCCGAGTTGTCTCTCGATGTTAGTGCTGTCGAGCGTTCGCGGACACTATGTGAGAGCGCAGTCCTACTGATATCGGGCGGTGAGCAAGTCCTAGTATGTGCCACCCGCGATGGCCTTCTCCTTAGCCGCTGTGTCCGTGGTCTCAAGTTGGGCTCTCCGAAAACCCCTATGAGCAACCCTGATCCGCTATATGAGGCTACGGCTGCCCCAGTACGGTCAGAGTGGAACATCACGAGGATGGGCTCGACCTCTGCACAAATATATTCAAGTTCCACCGACGACGCAGCCGCGTTCGTGTCATGCGGGCCAGACTTCTGTAGAGTTCGTTTGTCCGCAAACAAGCTTTCAGTCATGGATGTTGAGTCCATCTGGTTCGCTAACCGGGCGAATCCTGGGTATCTACAAAATCCGATCACAGCAACCTATCAGCTGCCTCTTATAGGGGACTCAAACATCGCTGTAGAGAGGAACCTGGGCGGCTTTCTCTTCCTCGTATCGGGTGATCAGATGCTCTATACACAGCTTGATGCAGACGTCAGACAGAGCGACCATGCTGTATATCTGCGATCCGGGGACGAGTCAAAGACCATGCCACGCAAGTTGATTACGGGCGCGAAGCCTACGTTCGCGGCATACCTGACGCTGCCACGGAAGATGCTCGTAGCAACAATCGAAGCTAGGGAAGCGTGTACGCCGCCCGATGGATACCGGACGATACATTCGACACTGAGCTTGCTCAATGTGCATGACAACAAGCCTCTCGATGAGGTTGAAGTGAAGCAGGAGGTGGGTGTCGAGCTTACTAACAGATTGGTTGTAGCTCAATACGCTCTCGACCATGCGGAGCGCGTATACTCGATCGCAGATTGGTCTTTCGAGGATGATCGTGGCAAGAAGTACAACTTAGTCATTGTGGGTACCGGTGTCGGAGCAGGTCACGGCAAGGAGTCCGGAAGGAGATTGATATTCAACTTGGGACAGCGTGGATCCAGGTTGTCGTTACAGAAAGAGTCAACATATCCCCATCCAGTCTATTGCGTTGCCATGTTTGACAAGCGCGCCACCGTTAGCGTCATTGGCAAGCTGCTACATTTTGATGAGTTTGATGCGGAGCTCGGCAGGCAAGTGGTATCCTTCGTCCTTCGACACATTCACTGACTGAAATAGGTGGTTCAATCGTGGGACAAAAGAACTCCCCTCGCCGGGTATACACGTCACTGTCTCAGGGACCAACGTCTATGTGTCTACACTGCAGCACTCGCACCTCTGCTTTGAAGTTACTCGTAGACTTGATGACTCAAGAGTCGATATCGAGCAGCTTTTCACCGACAGTCGCGAACGCTCTTGTACCCATCATCTCGCCTTTCGCAATGATGATCTGCAAAGAGACCCATTAGTGGAGGAAGAGTCACTTGTTCTACTCACAGACAAGAAAACAGCCACAGTGTCGGGTCTGTACAGCTCCGGCGAGAGTACTTTCAAGAATGCTGCAACAACTCTGTTTGAGGCATGTCTTCCGCGAACAGTAATTCGTCTTCAGCGTGGAGACATTCGCCCACCTTGGCGCCGGCCCTCCCGCTTCACGAAGCGTTCTGAAAAGGTCACGGGTGTCCTTGTTGATGACATTGTTGGTGCTTGTTCTGATGGTACCATCTACGCTTTTTCTATCCTGACTAGGCCTGCGCGTCATGTTCTGCGATTGCTGCAGAATCTCATCGAAATCAAGCAAACTCGCGATCCAGCAAATCAATTCACTATCCTCAGGCATCGAAGCGGCGATATCTTCGACGTACTTATGAACGGTGCAGATGGGGCGCAAGATTGCGTAATCCGTGCTAGAGACGTTGATCCCAGGAATAAGGAGCGAGGAGCGACTGGGCCGAAGAACAGCCACATTGACGGAGACCTGCTCTTGAGGTTCTTTGAAGAGGGTGGTAATATCAGGGACCTGTTATCGAGAGGCATGGATGAAGACGTACCTGCGTTATTGGTCGAACTTGGAAGAGCGTTGCTTCCGCAAGGGAGCTACTACCTGCGCAATGGCCATTTCGAAAGGGTCGACGTCTTGATGGGCATCAACGAATGGATAGATGAGCTACTCATGCCTTTGATGTAACGGTCTGTAGGATATAGTTGGAGTAGACCCGTGATATAGCGTTGGTAGGAGTGTGTGCTTGAAAAGGTGTTGGAATATGCCCGGCTGGGAGAAAATTTTGGTTTGGCAGTAGCTACAGGACGGACGACCACGACAAGTCGTTGCAATCAACTCTATCAAGAACAACCGCGTTAATGTGTCAAGTTATAGATGCGACCGTTGCGGCGGATTACTGATCTCAGCATAGGAGGTCCGCACAGTGTGACGCAATGGAAATTATACAAAGCGAAGTGCGCAATCATTCAACCGCAGTTTTGTGTATTTGCACATACTCCACTGTCTTTCGCAAAGATCAAAGCCCCAGAATCCGTAAGCAGCTGTTGGTTTCGCGATCGCTCACTCATTTGATTCACTCGCTCACTCACAATCTCTGTTCCTCTTGGTTTCAGCTGCGTTCATCTAATGACTAGACAGATTGTTGCTTTGCATCTTACCTCGCATGTTGCAGAAAAACTGGGCTATACGAAGAAGTTCGTTATTTTTTGTCGATCAAATACCGTGTCTGTGCACTCAATACACCTGTTCGGTCAATGCGCCGCACCAACCACTTCAGGCAGTTTACAAACATGAGGATGTAGAGAGAGCAGGCTGTCTCCTCCTCCAATTTCAGAGTCTCCAGGCCATTATTAAACTGTGCATCCAAGGTGCAGTCGATTAATTGATTAATTGATTGATTGGCTTAACGTCCTATCTGAGTCTAAGACTATGGAAGACAAGAGGAGCAGTAGCTCCTCTGATAATGGAAAGATTTAGTTAGATGAGAGTGAGGTCAATGGAGGTACAAGGGATGGTGATTGATTGATTGATTGATTGGTTTAACGTCCTATCTAAGTCTAAGACTATGGAAGACGAGAGGGCATAGCTCCTCTGGTAATGTAAAACTGAGGATTCCCCCTGGAACCAGGAGAGAGACTGCCAGTGTCTTCTATCAGCTGAAGCTTGGCCATGGATACAACAAGGCCTACCTGTTCAGGACTGGCAAGACTGACCACCCATCCTGCAGCTGTGGAGCCAAGCAGACTCCTGAGCACCTGCTCCTGAGCTGCAAGTGGCTGAACACAGACCGGAAAATCCTGCAGGACAGTCTTGGGAAGGTACAGCTGACTCTCCCTCTCCTTCTCCACACCAAGCAAGGCATCAAGGCCACCTTGGACTT